CATTATGGGGTATTGTGTGTAGATCAGTGACACAAAATCTCAATTTAATTCATTTAAATTCAGGCTGTAACACAACATAATGTGGAAAAAGTTGAGGGGTGTGAATACTTTCTGAAGGCAATGTGCCCAGGGAGACAGCAACCTTACCTTGGTCCAGGGCCAGCTCTCTCTCTTGACCTCTTGGTTGGCCAGTCCAAACTGATTATTGTTGGTTCAGATGGTGACGAAACATAAATATATACAAAAAGGAAAAAATATAAAAGGTGCCCAAACTAAAGACTCAAAAACAAACTAAATGCCTCATGGCCACCAAACAAAACTAGCAGGCTCTCCAAGCTGGCACTCTGACTGACGTCCACCCTTATTGGCAGCACATGATGTGCTTATCAACCAGGCTCAGCACTTGGACAAGGTTGCTGCTGCCCCCTGGGGGAATGGAGTGTGGAAGTGGTAGTGAGCTGTAGTGTGCGGTCTAGACTACCTAACTTATTCATAACAGATGGTCCTGGTTTCCACCTTGTATTGCTCCTCAAGCTGCCTGGCCACATCATCCAGCTTGTCCTGGGAGCAACTGATGAGCATCATGGCGAACCCTCGATAAGCGAGCTCTTCCGCATAGGATTTCCCGATTCCATCCGTGGCTCCTGTCACAACTAGAGCTGTGGTGGTCATGACATTTTGTCAGCCGGTAACTGTCATGCAAATAACTGCCGGTCTCACAGCATATTCTGAGTCATCCTTATGTTAGGCCTTGACCTGGCTATTTTTTATTTATTTTATTTCACCTTTATTTAACCAGGTAAGCCAGTTGAGAACAGGTTCTCATTTCCAACTGCGACCTGGCCAAGATAAAGCAAAGTAGTGCAATAAAAACAACACAGAGTTACATATGGGGTAAAAAAAAAACATAAAGTCAGAAATACAACAGAAAATATATATACAGTGTGTGCAAATGTAGCAAGTTATGGAGGTAAGGCAATAAATAGGCTATAGTGCAGAATAATTACAATAGTATTAACACTGGAATGCTAGATGTGCAAGAGATTATGTGCAAATAGAGATACTGGGGTGCAAAAGAGGTAGTTGGGTGGGCTAATTTCGGATGGGCTGTGTACAGGTGCAGTGATCGGTAAGGTGCTCTGACAACTGATGCTTAAAGTTAGTGAGGGAGATAAGAGTCTCCAGCTTCAGAGATTTTTGCAGTTCGTTCCAGTCATTGGCAGCAGAGAACTGGAAGGAATGGCGGCCAAAGGAGGTGTTGGCTTTTGGGATGACCAGTGAGATATACCTGCTGGAGTGCATACTACGGGTGGGTGTTGCTGTGGTGACCAATGAGCTAAGATAAGGCAGGGATTTGCCTAGCAGTGATTTATAGATGACCTGGAGCCAGTGGGTTTGGCGACAAATATGTAGTGAGGACCAGCCAACAAGAGCGTACAGGTCACAGTGGTGGGTAGTATATGGGGCTTTGGTGACAAAACGGATGGCACTGTGATAGACTACATCCAATTTGCTGAGTAGAGTGTTGGAGGGCGCCGAAGTCAAGGATCGGTAGTATAGTCAGTTTTACGAGGGCATGTTTGGCAGCATGAGTGAAGGAGGCTTTGTTGCGAAATAGGAAGCCAATTCTAGATTTAACTTTGGATTGGAGATGCTTAATGTGAGTCTGGAAGGAGAGTTTACAGTCTAACCAGACACCTAGGTATTTGTAGTTGTCCACATACTCTAGGTCAGACCCGCCGAGAGTAGTGATTCTAGTCGGGTGAGCGGGTGCCAGCAGCGTTCGATTGAAGAGCATGCATTTAGTTTTACTAGTGTTTAAGAGCAGTTGGAGGCTACGGAAGGAGTGTTGTATGGCATTGAAGCTCGTTTGGAGGTTTGTTAACACAGTGTCCAATGAAGGGCCAGATGTATACAAAATGGTGTCGTCTGCCACCTTTCCAACAAGTCAGTCCGTCAAATTTCTGCCCTGCTAGAGCTGGCCCGGTCAACTGTAAGTGAAGTGGAAACGTCTAGGAGCAACAACGGCTCAGCCACAAAGTGCTAGGCCACACAAGTTCACAGAAGGGTACCATCCAGTGCTGAAGCACATAGCGCGTAAAAATAGTCTTGTCTCATTTGCAACACTCATTACTGAGTTCCAAACTGCCTCTGGAAGCAATGTCAGCACAATAACTGTTCGTCGGGAGCTTCATGAAATGGGTTTCCATGGCGGAGCAGCCGCACACAAGCCTAAGATCACCATGTGCAATGCCAAGCATCGGGTAGAGTGGTGTAAAGCTTGCCGCCATTGGACTCCGAGGCAGTGGAAACGCGTTCTCTGGAGTGATGGATCACACTTCACCATCTGGCAGTCCGACGGACGAATCTGGGTTTGGCGGATGCCAGGAAAACGCTACCTGCCCCAATGCATAGTGCCAACTGTAGAGTTTGGTGGAGGAGGAATAATGGTCTGGGGCTGTTTTTCATGGATTGGGCTAGGCCCCTTAGTTCGAGTGAAGGGAGATATTAATGCTACAGCATACAATGACATTCTAGATGAATCTGAACTTCTAGGCACCATTTTGAGGAAGGCCTTTTCCTGTTTCAGCATGACAATGCGCTCGTGCACAAAGCTTGGTCCATACAGAAATGGTTTGTCGAAATCGGTGTGGAAGAACCTCACTAATGCTCTTTGGATGAATGGAAGCAAGTCCCCGCAGCAATGTTCCAACATCTAGTGGAAAGCCTTCCTCGAAGAGTGGATGCTGTTATAGCAGCAAAGGGCGGACCAACTCCATAGTAATGCCCATGATTTTGGAATGAGATGTTCGACGAGCAGGTGTCCACATACCTTTGGTCATGTAGTGTATGTCACAATAAATGCCAGAATTACATGCAAAATATCTCCTACATGCAACAGGGGCCTGTGATATAAATATTATAATGATCAAGTTAGGAGAGTAAGCTTGTCCATGATGATCGGCAAATCCTCAACCTTCAGAGCCCTATACTACGTACCTGGTTCATTCAGGATAATGTTCTTAGCCCGGAGTTAGCCTGCCCCGGAGCAAGTTAGTTCTGAAGGATTTGTTGCCATATAAATTTACCAACATAACTTTATTAAGCCAGGGCAGGCAAGCTCAAGGCACAAAGTATTATCAATTATTTTTCAAATATTAAAACCCCAGGTCTGATACCATGGCTTACATGAATTGAGAGATGTTTTGTTTTTGATTAACTGATCAAGTTTAAACAAGTACATTATAAAGCAAAGTGTGGGAAATATAAAACATAAAGCTTACTCATTCACCCATGACATATACAATATTTTCAACTGGTTACAGCGTGAAGAAAATGCTAGCTAACCTATTCAGACAATGTAGGCCTACAGTTGAACATTTATTGATGGGAACTAGGTATGAACCTGGCTTGAATGTTTTGTGCAGTTGAAATAGGTCATTGTCAGTGTTTACCCTTAGCTCGGTCTGTTGAGTGCCTTAGCAGTGGTATGCTTACTTTACAGTCGTCGTCTTAACCACGGTCCTGTCGGTTTGCGTTTTTAAATAATCTATTGGACCTAGATGAGGGAGGTATTACTAAATGTCTTGAATTGCTGAGACCTAAGGACAAACCACCATTCACGACTTGAACAGCACCAGATGACAACCTCATGAAAATCCTCAATGTATTATGTATTTACAAAGCACTAGGGTTATTCAACCCTGGTCCTGGAGACCCACAGGGTGTGCAGGCTTTTGTTCCAGCCCAGTAGCAACACTCCTCTACCAACAAATGATGAGTAGAATCAGCTGGAGTCCTGGGTTAGAACTAAAGCGTGCATACCCTGGAGTTAAGATAGGCCTACTTTAAACCAGACACACTAAAACCACACATATAGCATTGCCTTTGGATTTATTAGCATAAATTTAAAAAAGATCAAGCACTCAATAATGCATCTAATTTTGTGTTTCAAAGTTCACAATTGCATATTAATATAACAAATCACTTCTCTTCAGACAGGCGATATGAGCGGGAATGCTACCTAGCACAGAAACACTAACAGTCATTGGCTCAGCTGGAACATAGAAATTGAGTAGGGAGGTTTATGAGAAAGGATAAGGACAAAGTTTCCTCCACAGTAAACAGTAGTGGTTCTTGTTTCCCCAGCCCTAATTCAACCCAACTACAACTCTTCAGTGATTCATTGTGGTTCAGAGTATCTACACAAAACAACACTAATATACAGAAAACATTTTGTACATGACATTATGATTAAAGGTCATGGCAAACCCCTCATCATGGCATGGTGACTAGGGATTAGTTTCGAACCCAAAAGGCACTGCTGTGTTGGTTTGGCTGCAAGGATGATGACTTAAAAACATTATTTTATGACTGAACCATCACAGTTACTCACACCGATCGATGGCCGGCAACTATTTCTAATATAAACAAGGAATCTGGTGTAGGACTAAACACAGGAACATTTTTGAAGAGAACTCAGAAGTTTAAACTGCTAAATACTGTAAAATATTTATGAAGCTTATTCGAAAACATTGGTGGTGGTTTGTTTAACTAGGATAAATGTCATTTTGTGCATATAGGCTAACTCATACCTCTGTTTATAAAGCTAACTATCAGGGCATGGATGAGGCATGGGCACACAAACGATACATCATTGGGAAGAGATGGATCACTATACTGACAACAGCATGAACATTTCAGACAGCAGACCTGTATATTTGACGGATGTAGTTTGGGGCCCGATCTTCTCCCATAGGGCTGCAGTCTGAGTGCATACATTTCTGTGTGAACTTTGGCTAAATGGACAGGAAACTACATGTTAGAACAATGTTGTCTCTAGTCATCTGTGCAGTAAGTAGCCTGAGGAATATAATATTAAATAATTAAAGTTTCCCATTTCATTAGCGATCACATTCACGGACGGTTAGTAGTAGGATCTTGTATAGCGGGGTGATAAGTGCAACAGATGGAACTGGCCCCAGGTGCAAGCTTAGGCATCACATCTTGGAGGAGGCAGTGATGGCAGCTGCACCTCCACGGGTGTACACTCTCACAGTGTCCTGTGAGAGAGGGGGAGGGGAGGAGACAAAGGGAGAGAAGGAGATTTGAGGCTATGTCAAACACAATCTTGTTTACAAGGGGTCCTGAGAGAAACAGTCACATATATACTAAACAGAAAGGAATAAGTACAAACAAAATGTTCTACCTACATAAAATGTGTATGAAACTATTTAGTTAATACAACTTTAGATTTTTATTAAGGATCTACAATATACCTAAAACCGCTCATGTAAATGATGCAACTATACTTTGATCTTAATTTTTTCTCCAAATATTTCATTAATTATTCCTACTCACCTGCAATAAGCTGACTCAGATGTGCGAGTGCTTTTCTATACTGCATCATTCATGGGGGACGACATGTTTACTGTTGCGTTGTTTACATAAGCTTTAGCGTCTGTTGACAGCAATAAATGAACTTACCTTCTTGGGCTCAGCATTGTTGAGTAGGGACTGGACCCTGTTTCCATAGTCTGCATGCACAGCCATCAAGTTCTGAACCTGGAAAAACAGAGTGAGAGCAGAGAGAGAGGGTCAGAACAGTGTTGTTAGTGATGGCATAATACATTGTTAAACATTACATTGCAAAGATGCCCTTTGTGGTAGTGAGGAAGATGATGCCAACTACACTGCTCAAAAAAATGAAGGGAACACTAAAATAACACATCCTAGATCTGAATGAATGAAATAATCTTATTAAATACTTTTTTCTTTACATAGTTGAATGTGCTGACAACAAAATCACACAAAAATTATCAATGGAAAATCAAATGTATCAACCCATGGAGGTCTGGATTTGGAGTCACCCTCAAAATTAGTGGAAAACCACACTACAGGCTGATCCAACTTTGATGTAATGTCCTTAAAACAAGTCAAAATGAGGCTCAGTAGTGTGTGTGGCCTCCACGTGCCTGTATGACCTCCCTACAACGCCTGGGCATGCTCCTGATGAGGTGGTGGATAGTCCCAGACCTGGACTAAAGCATCCGCCAACTCCTGGACAGTCTGTGGTGCAACGTGGCGTTGGTGGATGGAGCGAGACATGATGTCCCAGATGTGCTCAATTGGATTCAGGTCTGGGGAACGGGCGGGCCAGTCCATAGCATCAATGCTTTCCTCTTGCAGGAACTGCTGACCCACTCCAGCCACATGAGGTCTAGCATTGTCTTGCATTAGGAGGAACCCAGGGCCAACCGCACCATCATATGGTCTCACAAGGGGTCTGAGGATCTCATCTCGGTACCTAATGGCAGTCAGGCTACCTCTGGTGAGCACATGGAGGGCTGTGCGGCCCCCCAAAGAAATGCCACCCCACACCATGACTGACCCACCGCCAAACCGATCATGCTGGAGGATGTTGCAGGCAGCAGAACGTTCTCCACGGCGTCTCCAGACTCTGTCACATGTGCTCAGTGTGAACCTGCTTTCATCTGTGAAGAGCACAGGGCGCCAGTGGCGAATTTGCCAATCTTGGTGTTCTCTGGTAAATGCCAAACGTCCTGCACGGTGTTGGGCTGTAAGCTCAACCCCCACCTGTGGACGTCGGGCCCTCATACCACCTTCATGGAGTCTGTTTCTGACCGTTTGAGCAGACACATGCACATTTGTGGCCTGCTGGAGGTCATTTTGCAGGGCTCTGGCAGTGCTCCTCCTGCTCCTCCTTGCACAAAGGCGGAGGTAGCAGTCCTGCTGCTGGGTTGTTGCCCTCCTACGGCCTCCTCCACGTCTCCTGATGTACTGGCCTGTCTCCTGGTAGTGCCCATGCTCTGGACACTACGCTGACAGACACAGCAAACCTTCTTGCCACAGCTCGCATTGATGTGCCATCCTGGATGAGCTGCACTACCTGAGCCACTTGTGTGGGTTGTAGACTCCGTCTCATGCTACCACTAGAGTGAAAGCACTGCCAGCATTCAAAAGTGACCAAAACATCAGCCAGGAAGCATAGGAACTGAGAAGTGGTATGTGGTCACCACCTGCAAAACCAGTCCTTTATTGGGGGTGTCTTGCTAATTGCCTATAATTTCCACCTGTTGTCTATTCCATTTGCACAACAGCATGTGGAATTTATTGTCAATCAGTGTTGCTTCCTAAGTGAACAGTTTGATTTCACAGAAGTGTGATTGATTTGGAGTTACATTGTGTTGTTTAAGTGTTCCCTTTATTTTTTTGAGCAGTGTATATAACAGCCATGATGACAGTGTGGTGGAGGAGGTTGATTTGAATAGTAATGATGATGGTGATTAAAGAAAACACACACATATATAAAACATAATTGCTGATCCTAAAGATGATGAAAGTGTTGGACTTAGACAATCTTAATGATGGTGATGACGATGATGAGGACAACTCACCCAGCGTTTCTGGATAAAGACTTGGGCTCCCTTCAGGGCACCAGCCATGTTCTGACAGAGCCTCTGGCGCTCCTCCTCGTTCAGCACCTTAGTGAAGAAGGTACGCACCTGCAATACATATACACACGGTCAGGGCACACACATGAATAAGCATTAATAAACTATCAATAAAAGACGTATTTCATTATTTGTAATCATTTATAAACACGTGTAAGCATTATAGTTAATAGGCATTGATCATGTATAATAACAAAGATTTCTTTACAGGGTGTATCATCATTATTGGCCCTGCCAGTGCAGTGCACACAGCTCTCTTTGTGTAGTAAATGACCCTCATGTCACATCAGCACAACCCCCTTTACCGGACAGGGAAGACATGAAAATGTTGGGGAAAAGTATGTTGTGTGTTCCTCTTGCAAGTTGTCTTTTTCCCTTGAAGCCGAGCTACCGATTCCAGATCACCGGCTTGATCCCGCCAAGATCTGTCCTCCACGGCGGAAGCTAGCATTCCTCGTTCTGCCTTGCACCACCCGGCGTCAGTGCACATCTCGGAGTCTCCCCTTTTTACCTTTTGAGAGTAACTATACAGCTAATTCGCTCCCTTGCATTGGTATTAAGTGTAATGTGTAACTATTTAGGTTGACGTTCAGTAACTGCATGTTAGAACTGAACCACTACTTGCCTTTTAAATTGCTCACTTCACAACTCATAGTTAATACTCTTTAGCAGTATGCGCCCGTGTTATCTGTTAAGTACAAGCTTGATTGTGCAAACGTTGCTCTATCCAAAATTTGAATATAATTCTCTAGCAATTTGCTGATAAACAAATGATTGAATTCATCATTCTCCTGTATCGATTACCTAACATTATAATTTACCCTGTAACCATTGATTAATTTATAGATGTTTACAATTTTTTATTATTACATTTTACTTGTTTGGGGGGTTTTCTGACACAAAACAAGCTCTAGAAAACTGTACAATTTCACAAATCTGATATTAAGCTCATCAGATATACTGTACCTTCAGGTAAATCAATTGTTACTAGTATTCTCAGTTCTGTCTTATAGTGTTATTGCTAAGATAATTCATAAGTCAGGTATTCTTAAAATACCATGTTTGTCTAATAATGGACTGGTGCCCACATTCATAAAATATATTAATTCAAGTATTCTTAAAATACCATGTTTGTCTAATAATGGACTGGTGCCCCCATTCATAAAATATATTAATAACTTGTTTAGTAATAACTTGACCAATATTCCCAACATATGTGTTCTCTACCTGTGTGACGTTATCATCGTCAGCACTGTTGTAGCGGCCCACGTCTGGGGACACCTCAAACTTGGTCTCCATGTGCTGGGGCTGGGTCTCTGGAGCACTGAAGCTGTTGGGGAAGTAGTTGGGAGTGCCAGCCTGGTTGTCGAACATGCACATAGGCCCATCTCGCTGGTAGTTGGCCACACGGGTCCTGAAGGGGCAGTTGACGGGCAGCTGCAGGTAGTTGGCGCCCAGCCGGTGCCGGTGTGTGTCTGGGTAGGAGAACAGACGCCCCTGTAGCATCTTGTCAGGGCTGGGCTCGATGCCAGGGGGCATGTTGCTGGGGTCGAAAGCTAGCTGCTCGATCTCAGCAAAGTAGTTGACAGGGTTTCTGTTGAGCACCAACCTCCCCACAGGAATGAGGGGGTACTCCTTGTGAGACCACACCTGAGTAGTAAGAAAGAGAGAACAGTGTAGCTACCTCGCATGCCAACCAAGGTGCATAGACAAGACAATTCTATGAAAATGTAGGCTTGCATGACCCCCTATAATGTATTATTTTCACCTAATAATTATCCTGACTAAATAACAGCTATTGAGAATCAGTTGCCAATCATACTACTGCTCACAGATGCTATGACACCATAACAGATCTCAGACCACTGTCAGATCTTTTAGTGGTTATGTGGAGGAAGTTCCCCCTCTAGGGGAAAAGCCAGAGTACTGCAAATGTCGATATTCTGAGAATGTGTTTTTGACTCGAGGTTTAAATGGCTAATAACATAGTACATTTGTAAATTTTTAGTCATTTAGCAGACGCTCTTATCCAAAGCGACTTACAGGAGCAATTAGGGTTAAGTGCCTTGCTTAAGGGCACATCGACAGATTTTTCACCTGGTCGGCTCTTACCCACTAAGCTACCTGCCGCCCTAGTACAAAGACATCAAGTATTTCTGTCACATTCTTCTTTCAAAACCAAGGGAACATATTGATCAAATGTTAGGGAGTGGTTCCCACATAATTGAATAGAAGATTATGAGTATTAAAATCTGCAATATGTTACTTTTTGGGCGGCCTGACCAAATTCACATTGAAATTGAGTTCTAAAACCGGTCAGTCTCATTGAAAGCAAGTCTAAGAAGTGGTAGATCTGTTCTATGTGCGCTACTTCTATGCTGCCCTTTCTTAAGTTTAGTTTTTTCGTATTTTACTTTCGGTTTAGTACACCAGCTTCAAACGGCTGAAAATACAACATTTTTGGTTACGGAAAATATATATCACAGCGGTTTAGATGGTACAATGATTCTCTACACAATGACTTCTTGTTTTGTCACAAACTTAAATTAGGCAAATGGCGGAGCGATTTCTGCCTATTGCATCTCTATGGTACCTTGGTCAGGTCAAAGGGGTTCCACTGGAACTTCTCTGCCTGCTCAAAGGTCATGACCTGGATGTAAAAGGACCAGGAGGGGAAGTTGCCGTTGGCGATGGCGGTGTAAAGGTCTCGGATGGCGTAGTCCGGGTCGGTGGAAGCCAGGTGCTCGGCATCCTCAGGTTTCATGTTCTTGATGCCCTGGTCGGTCTGAGATGGGAAGGTTGCTATGGGTTACTATGGACCCTGTCCCAATTTTTCCAAATACGTTTCCTTCTGTTCCCACCATTACCCTCTTCAGTTAATTAAGTATAGTCGACTCCTATATCCATTTAAGTGTAGTGCATTTCACTAGTCCTGTACTATTGTGTTCACTACATTAGTTTTACTTGTGCTTTGACCTTGTAGTGGAACTTGCAGTAGACGGGCTGACCCTTGGCGTTGACCAGCTTGAAGGTGTGGGAGCCGTAGCCGTTCATGTGGCGGAAGCCGTCGGGCAGACCACGGTCACTGAACAGGAAGGACACCTTCACAGAGACGAGAACAAATAGAAGATCATGAACAACATACTCAGTGATTAGCAATTGAGGTATTGTAAGTAGATAATATCTAGAAAAACATAAGTATATAAGCATGATATAATAATAATAATCTGATCAGAAAAAGGATGCAAAACTATATTTGGCATAGCTATAAAGTTGTTAATGGCATGTTCTTACTAAAACTTGGCTTAGTGTGGGGTGAAATCAGAAAATACAATGTCAGAAATCCATCCATCCATCTATCGTGTGCGTGTGTGTAAAGGTTTGGTTGCGGGTAGAGAGGAGCAGCTACAGCACCTGATGCATACACTCAGGCCGCAAGCTCCAGAAGTCCCACACCATGTCTGGGTCCTTTAGGTGAGTCTGGGGGTTGCGCTTCTGAGAGTGGATGAAGGATGGGAACTGCACAGACAAAGGGATATCAGAGAGATGCGGTAATGGTACATATCATACGGGGAGATGAACTAATGTAGAACACATAATATCCACAAAACATCTTGAACCTTGGTCTCGCACTATATCCTGAATCTTGGCCAGGAGCGTGCACACGTGCAGCCAGACACTACACCCTGAACCTTGGCCACGGCCACACACACACACACTACACCCTGAACCTTGGCCAGGCGCACACAGGCTCAATCTTGACTCACACCTGTCTGGACTCACCAGCATGGCGTCCCTGATAAAGAATATGGGGGTGTTGTTGCCAGTAAGGTCCCAGTTGCCCTCGTCAGTGTAGAACTTGACTGCAAAGCCACGTGGGTCTCTCACTGTGTCGGCTGAGCCCGATTCCCCAGCTACATGAAAATATGACGATAAGAAACTCACAGTTTAAACAAGACATTATTTACAGATGAAAAAAAAGTGTATTATGACTATTTTATGGTATTTATTCAATGATCTATTTGGATGTTGTAATTGCTGAGTAATTTAAATGTACCCTTTGTTTTGTATCATTTCAAACTCTCAAGAAATGCCAAACAATCCTGAAAAAGCTAATAGAGACCTAGGTCAAGCCAATTCAATAGAAAATAGATTCCAGGGAACTTTAGGTGGGTTCAGGGGGTCCTATACATTTCTAGGACATGCAGGCTAACTATATCAAAGTATTAATCCAGATAGTTTACTCTGAGTTTTTGTATTTTCTTTGGATTCCCAGCTAGTTTTATCCCTGTAACAGCAGTTTTCCCACTGAGGCTTTGGGTCAGGGTTAGTGATGGACACTTGTGCATTAAGGTTACTACACTAAGGACTGCTCTTCACTTGACAGCATCAATCATGTAGACGGCATTATTTTCTCATGGGGCTCTTACACAACCTTTGTTTGTATTGCTCTGGCAGGGGACAACTGTCCAGGCATCAGTTATGAGAGTGTTACGAGAGCTGTTATAAAAGAGTGTTAAGTTGGTCAAATGTCAGAAGTGAATATGAACTCTGTCAAGGATTCTTCTGATAAGCAAATATTGCTTTTGCAGACAATCATATTTGTAGTCATTGCCTCTAGTTATCGCAAACAAACTAATATTGGTAGCAAATACGTATAATTACATGATACAGTGCTTCTTTACACATGTTCTTGAGGAAACAAATAACTGTGTAAATGTGTTTGTAGCAGTTTTATGGAAAAGCCGGTGGGAGCAACCTCAAAATACAATTTTACCATGTAAGTATTGAATAAATACCAGGAAAGTATGGGATAAAAAATTTAATAAAAGTAAATGTAATGTAGGCTAATGTAACCAGTACGAAAGTGGAGAAGCTATCTAGCTATGCAGTGGTGCGTCTTACCCACGGTGGAGAAGCGGATGGCGATGGGTGTGGTCTTTCCCACATGCTCAAACACCTTGGCCTTGCAGTAGCGAGAGATGTCATGTGTCACCTCAAAGTACCCGAACGCTCCTGTGGAGGAAGAGGCAGTACATGGTCAGTTACCGTTTGTATTTTATGTTAGCTAGTTAGGCTAGCTAGTTAGAGACAGACATTTTTGTTCCCTTATTGAAGTTGCCAAAAGAGTCAGTCAGTCATTGAAACCAGACACATCTCTGCTGTAGCTTAGGGTCGGTTTCCGAGACTAGAGATGGCACAGCTAGTTAGGCTAACGTAGATTATCACTCCTAATTTAAAACCAATGTATCTTTGTCATTGTAGGCAGTGCAAAACTTAAGGTTACTTGCTAAACCCCGGTTCTCTGAAAATATGAGTACGATGTATCACTATGGAGATTCGCCTGGATCACCAACTCTCGGAAGGACCTATTGTATCAAAAGCATCGGTTGGAGACAGACAGATAGAGTGGCAAATGAGGTGAGCCCCTCACTTCCTTATAAGAAGGCACTCTCCCGCCCTCTGGTCATTCTCAAGCATGCTTCTCTTCCTCGCGCCCTTGCCAGCAGGGGAATTTGGTGCTTAATGAGATATGTCCCAAAAACTGTGCCCAAGAGGTAAACTCCTCTGTAGGAGAGGGCCCTTTCAGGCCCCTCCGAAGGCTGTCAATCTTGCCATTACAAAAATATATAATGTTGCACAATGAGCTCTCGTTCAATCCAAGTAGATGTCCAACGCGCATCCACCCTACCGAGGAAGGCGACAGGTGAAAAGCCTTAGGCTCCAAGGTGCGACAATAAGAAAATGTCGACCTAGGCCAAAGGATGAGGTACATTAACCTGAAGAACCCCTGGGCACACTGTGAGTGCGAACAGTGGCTGGTAAAGCACAGTCTACACACTCGCTTAGGGGTGCCAAGGGCTGTAGCAAAGCGAAATAATATTACAGCTTCACTGCTATGAAAGTATATTAAGCACTATAGACATGTCCCAGGACTAGCTAAAGGCTTAGAGACTGGCACTCTTCCAAGAATTGCGGGCCTGTCTTATTTATTTTTTCTCAACGCAGTATTCCTACTACTGGGAAGTAGAACAGCTATGTAACTGGTATGTCTTGGCCCTGCTCCATGGAGGAGGGTTGTCAAGAGCGAAGATATATCCCCAGCCTCTTGCTCCCAACTGATGGGGAGGCAGAGTAGGCAGTGGCTCGGTTGTGTGAACCAATCTCAGTAAAAAATTATTTTCTGAGGCTCTGACGCCTGGCAAGTGCGCCGTCCTCACTCAGCCCTTTCTCCCACCAGCGATAGGCACATGGTACAACCACAGCCTTAAAAATGGCACTACGGGAGGCACAGAGGAGGCAGGTAGCTTAGTGGTTAAGAGCGTTGTGCCAGTAACCGAAAGGTCGCTGGTTCTAATCCCCGAGCCCACTAGGTGAAAAATCTGTCGATGTGCCCTTGAGCAAGGCACTTAACCCTAATTGCTCCTGTAAGTCGCTCTGGATAAGAGCGTCTGCTAAATGACCAATTATTATTATTAATTATTACAGAGGTTTAAGTCTAACCATACAGAGCTCCTCCCAAGCATCTAGTTCTAGGGTGTCTGAGTCCAGTTGTTTCCCCACCACCTCCTCCATTAGCTCAGCATGATAAGCGAACAATAAAAGGTCACATTGAGAGCCGATTGCTTGGGCAGAGCCAAAATGGAGGCAGTAAAGCGCACCGTCTTTCTAGCGAGTGAGGTGCTAGTGTCGTTAGTAACACGGCGCGAGGGGCTGAGGTGCTAAGCCAGTGACGGCTCCACCGTGGGAGGGTTACCAAACCTAAATTCCTCCATATTGTGCATGTCCAGGCTTGGGGTGCCCCTTGCAAGAATCTTGCTGGTGAGGGGTTTGTCCCACGAGCTCTTAGCTTCCCTGAGGCATGTGGTTACTGCGGGGAGTTGCTTTACCGGGGCTGTATGAGACAGGAGTCTCTTCTCGTCGTATAGGTCTCTTAATGGGCCGCTTGCAGACACGGAGGAGCCCAAACTCCTATGGAGTAGGGGTGGCTTCTCTGCTCTCGTGGCCGTCAGACCCGCGGTTCTGAGAAGGCGGGAGAAAAGGGTCGTCACCCCCCAGCTCCTGAGCCATCGAGGATATCTGTGAGATTAATCCCATCGTCATCCCTAGGCTTGCCTCCCCTGACACTATATCGTAAGATAGTGAGGGGAAGGAGTCGAGGCTATCCATGACCACGCCCCAACTGGGCTAGGTTGCGGGGTGCTGAGCCTCAGCTTTCGCTGTCGGCTTGGAGGCGAAAGGGGCTATCAAGATAGACGCTCGTTTAAACCTCCTCAGAGTGCCTCTTGGGTGTGCTCACAGGACTCTGGGTCATCGAGCGCCTCTTGGGCATGTTCCTTTCCCAGGCAATTGATGCATAGAGGGTGGGCATCCTTCCCTGCAATCATGGAATCGCAAGTGCAAGAACGTGGGGGTTCGAGTGCTAGGCTCGTCCTGGGATACCAGAGGCCATTTTAAGGAACAAGGCTTGCTTGGAGGAAAAAGCAACGCCTGTTGTAAGAACAACGAGTAGACTGCGTAAGCTAGCTAGTTAGAAGCCTTGCGGCTGGTGGCTAGCAAACGGTAGCATGTGTAAACAGTTAGAAGCTAGCTAGTTGGAAGCCTTGTGGCTAATAGTAAGCAATAATGAGCACAGTAGAATGCAATAACCATTAGGCTAGTGGGGCATTAGCTAGCAGCAGAGTTAGCCTGCAGGTAGTGTGCTCCCATGACAGAAGGAGCCGTGAGGCTGAGAAGGATGAACGTTAAGCTAGACGAGAGAAGGGAGCTAGAAATTCTACCGTGTTGTAGGTAAGGTATGCTAGTGAGGTTAGCTTGCATCTCAGTGAGCTAGCCAAGTTAGACTTGCAGCGTGGGCTAACAGTCTCAATAGCTAGCCGTGAAGCTAGCAACCAACGGAGACTGAAAAGTAGAAAATGAATTTCTACACAAAGCAAAAACCATTCGGTCAGTACTAAACCTCTCGAAAGGGTCTGAAGATCTACGGTCGGCAGTGATTTCCTTCATGGTTCGCTTGTAAGCAGTTAAGTAGGAAAACAAGGATAAATCATGCAGAGGAGAGCTAGAGAGTAATGCTCTTCACAAGCAAGAATCACCACAGGGTGGGAGAGTAGCTCCTTAAAAGGAAGTGAGGGGCTCACCTCATTCGCCACTACCTACCTCTAACAGACGCTTTTGACAGGTTCTTCCGAGAGTTGGTGATCTTGGCGAATCCCCATAGTGATACATCAAAACGAATATATGAAAGAGAACCACTGAACTTGTCATTAGACAAAATGAGCTGAGGTTATATTCAACTTCACAAACAAATATGCTGCCTTCACCATGTCGTGTACACATTCCTTGGAAGATTAGTGAGTAAACACCTGCTAAGAAAGCCATTCATGTGGTGCACTTTACCCCTTCTGTAGAGTGGGCCAACAGATCGTCACATGATCATGGTCTTTATAATGTTAGACTGGAGAGCCGCTTACAGTTGGCTTTTTGGTGTTGACCCAAAATTAGGCCCACAATTGATAGCTAGATGTCTAGGCAAGGGCAGTGGTTCCCCTACCATTACGTGAAGCTCCACTCTTAAGAAATCTAGTGGCATCTGACGGTCTTTCCAGCTCTGTCATTTTTGCCCATTTTTAAACAATTACTGAGAAATACACTGAACAAAAATATAAAACGCAACATCTAATGTCTTGGTCCCATGTTTCATGAGCTGAAATAAAAGATCCCAAAAATGTGCCATATGCACAAAAAGCCTATTTCTCTAAATTTGCCAGAAATGTGTTTACATCCCTGTTAGTGAGCATTTCTCCTTTGCCAAGATAATCCATCCACTTGACAGGTTTGGCATATCAAGAAGCTGATTAAACAGCATGATCATTACACAGGTGTACCTTGTGCTGGGGACAATAAAAAGCCACTAAAATGTGCAGTTTTGTCATGCTGACTGCACGAATGTCCACCAGAGCTGTTGCATGTTCATGTCTCTACCATAATCCACCTCCAACGTCATTTTTGAGAATTTGGCAGTACATCCAACCGGCCTCACAACCGCAGACCACGTGGGTGGCGTTGTGTTGGCGAACGGTTTGCTGATGTGAACAGAGTGCCCCATGGTGGAGGTGGGGTTACGGTATGGGCAGGCATAAGCTACGGACAACGAACACTTTTGGTCATGTAATGTATCTGTGACCAACAGATGCTTATCTGTAATCCCTGTCATGTGACTTATTTCCATATATGAACTGTAACTAAGTAAAATCTTTGAAATTGCTGCATGTTGCGATAATATTTCTGTTCAGTATATATTGCATTAATGCCAATCAGTGCCAGTCTGTTAAATACATTGGTAGTGCTGGACACCCACCGCCTCCCTTGGCGTGCACCACCCTCTCTGGGATGCGCTCACGGTCGAAGTGTGCCATCTCGTCAATGAACGGGGTGTCCTGCACCAGGAGGGGCCCCTGGGGACCTGCTGTCATTATATTCAGCTTGTCCCCTACCGGGTGACCAGCCCCCGTGGTCAGGGTGTCTGGCCTCTGAAGGGAAAGCAATGAAATAGACATTATACATAATGAAGACATTGAATGATCATATGCTTAATTCATGCAATTGTTACAATTCAATATGGGCCCAATTCAGACTTAGGAAATGTACGACTTTCCTATGCATGCCTTATCTAAGCGCTCCTCAATAGTTTGTATTCAAACTTACCTTATGCAGGTGCGTAACGGGCTTTGCAGGTGTGGTTCCCTTGCGCACTCGGAATACATGTTTTATTTTTTAACCCCCTTTTCCTCCCCAATTTCATGATTATGAACTTGTCTCATCGCTGCAACTCCCCAATGAGCGGCAAAGGTCGAGTCATGCGTCCTCCGAAACATGACCCGCCTAATTGCGCTTCTTAACACCCACTCGCTTAACCTGGAAGTCAGCTGCACCAATGTGTTGGAGGAAACACCGTTCAACTGACGAGCGAAGTCAGCCTGCAGGCATCCGGCCCGCCACAAGGAGTCGCTAGAGCGCGATGAGCCAATTAAAGCCATGAAATATTGGATGGTCAGAAAAGTGTACAATAGTGATTTAACAGTAGTTTATATAGTAGTCTATAAATCTACCCTAATAATCCTCACTAATCATGACAACGGTCCAGTCGACGTGAACCACACGCCAGCCTCCAGGTTTAAACTGCTGAAGTTAAATAAGAAAGCAACTGATTTGTTTCCTTGCCCGTTTCGGCAGCCTCCCAAAACTTCCATCTGACATTCTAGAATTTAGACGACAGTCTTCAGCAAATTCTCTTCTAACCAGTGATATAAAAATCTATTCTCAGATTCAGTGTGGCCTTTGAATAGTGTTAGTTTAACCAGCGCAAACACCCCAAATGTTAGCCCCTGCTCTATTGATTTCAAATTGGTATTGGTTCTCTGCTGTGTGGCTCAGTGGTCAGTACATTGATGAGAAGTTGGACACAAACACCCATGTCATGCCTCGTTGCAGTGATGTATGAAAGCGTGTTCATAGACGTCCAACAATCTGTTGTTAACGCCACGTAAGAGTGTTTGAGAGCTCGCGCTTTGTACTTGCAGAGCAATCATTGTACAATTTCTCCATCCGGGTTGTCGCGGTTTCTCAACATGGCATCTTGTAGTCTGGTTCTAGATATGCCACCAGGGCATTGAATCAGACATCCTTCACAATTGACAATGGCTGAATATCAAAAACATACATAGACAATCCTATAAATTAAAATGGCCAATTTGGATACAATCAATTAGCTTAATTCCTCAGATATCAAATTATTTCACCAAAAATAATGTTGCAGGAATGCTAATCTTATCGGTTTCTAACAGAAATTAGATCAGAACAATCCGAGATGGTGGGTGTTGAAATCCTCTTTCTTGTGCTTTTTGGAGGTGTAACCGACCCTTCTGTAATCAATGCAGTGATTTTCTCACTCCATCCCTTATCGCACTTCTTTCGGTTTGGGTCTCAAGGTGCCTCCCTTTCCAGGCAGATCGCGCAAGATTGACTTCGAAATTGGACCTCTGTCAATATCCTGAGGACATCGGGAAATGCCTTCAAAACCGGCCACTAGTGGCAACAGTGAGTGCTATTACCATCCAGTAGGCTTGGGTATTGTTAGGGCGTTGAGGACAGGGGTCCAATGACTCCGGATCTGAAGGTTGCGTGTTCAATCCCAGTGGTAAGCAACCCCCCCCAAAAAATGTATACCCTATTCCAAACCTTAACCATTTGGAATGAATGCCTAAACTTGATGTTTTAACCCTATTCAAAACCTTAACGTTTGGAGAAACGGAACGATGCTGAGCAGGAGGAGTTAACCCAGGTTGTCAAACACTTTAAATTGGAAGTTTCTAGAAACATGGATAAACAGCAGAATTTGAAGTGTATTTGGTAAAGAAGTGAGATCTTGTTTCCCTTTCAGATGGTTAAGCATTGCATCTGCATTCCCGGTGTACCTTAATTCCACCTTGCAAAGTTTGCATTTCACCACCTTCTCATTTATCTTCTCAAAGTATTGCCATACAGGACTTCGCTGCTGTCACTTCCCCGTCTCACACTCTGCAATTTTTCCAAATATTAACGACGATGACGTGCAGAACACTTTATATCCTTGCCAAATAATTTGAAAGATGCATATCTCCTCCTACAAACGTTACAGCATTGTTGTGTTAGGTATTTTATTTTTACCTTTATGAAGATTATGTTTGTGGTAGTTTTGTAATAACAGCACTGCAATTTAAATTTTGTGGGGGGAAAACAAAATAATTGTTTTTCAGTTAGGGATTTTCTCTAAACGTTAACCATCCCAATTTAATTTAAAACATTCACATATATATATATATATATATCAAAACAGTTTCTGCATATTTATTGATTTGGACACTTATTTATCAAAAGTTCTTGTCAACGGGAAGCAGCGACAGCATCATTTTCATTGTATGCTTTAGGAATATAAATGGATCTTTCAAGATTAATTTCCAATAGTATTCTACTTAATTAGGTAAAAACTGCTGAGTCCAGAAATGTGATGCTATTTATTTTGATGATCTACCAGAAATCCATAGATACAGAACAAAAAGACTGAACGACTGGGTCGTGTCTCTAGCAACCGAACGACCAGCCGGCTTGGGAAGCAACACTAGATTTGTGTCGGGACTCTATCTTGTGGAAGGATGAAATAGTATGAATAAATTAAACTAAATAACATTAATGAAAATATGTCAATCATTATTTGAATATGTTGGTAACCCGTTGTATAAAAGTGATAATGCCCTTGAAGCCGGTGTTTGGAGGATATATTGGCAATATATCCACCAAACACCAGCTTCAAGGGCATTAACACTTAAATAAGGAATTCCCCTTGACCACAAATAGGGGAAAACAAACATTCTTTTCTATTGACCCCCATTGTAAAAGAGGCAACTTCGTTGTTGATTTTTTATTATACAGAAATAAAACATACCGAAAAGCTGCTGTGTTGTTTCAATGTACATGTAGCCAGGTCAAAAAAACCTTTCCTATGGTTTGCAATGCTCCCACGTAGGGAAATTGCACCTGCGACAAGAGCCCTGTGGCTTCAGGCTGATCGGCGTGGGAGAGTGGTAAATGTGGGGACGCGGTCCAAGTAGGCTACACGTAGCTACAGTGGGGAAAAAAAGTATTTTGTCAGCCACCAATTGTGCAAGTTCTCCCACTTAAAAAGATGAGAGAGGCCTGTAATTTGCATCATAGGTACACGTCAACTATGACAGAAAAATGAGATTTTTTTTCTCCAGAAAATCACATTGTAGGATTTTTAATGAATTTATTTGCAAATTATGGTGGAAAATAAGTATTTGGTCAATAACAAAAGTTTCTCAATACTTTGTTATATTCCCTTTGTTGGCAATGACACAGGTCAAACGTTTTCTGTAAGTCTTCACAAGGTTTTCACACACTGTTGCTGGTATTTTGGCCCATTCCTCCATGCAGATCTCCTCTAGAGCAGTGATGTTTTGGGGCTGTCGCTGGGCAACACGGACTTTCAACTCCCTCCAAAGATTTTCTATGGGGTTGAGATCTGGAGACTGGCTAGGCCACTCCAGGACCTTGAAATGCTTCTTACGAAGCCACTCCTTCATTGCCCGGGCGGTGTGTTTGGGATCATTGTCATGCTGAAAGACCCAGCTATGTTTCATCTTCAATGCCCTTGCTGATGGAAGGAGGTTTTCACTCAAAATCTCACGATACATGGCCCCATTCATTCTTTCCTTTACACAGATCAGTCGTCCTGGTCCCTTTGCAGAAAAACAGCCCCAAAGCATGATGTTTCCACCCCCATGCTTCACAGTAGGTATGGTGTTCTTTGGATGCAACTCAGCATTCTTTGTCCTCCAAACACGACGAGTTGAGTTTTTACCAAAAAGTTCTATTTTGGTTTCATCTGACATTCTCCCAATCCTCTTCTGGATCATCCAAATGCACTCTAGCAAACTTCAGACGGGCCTGGACATGTACTGGCTTAAGCAGGGGGACACGTCTGGCACTGCAGGATTTGAGTCCCTGGCGGCGTAGTGTGTTACTGATGGTAGGCTTTGTTACTTTGGTCCCAGCTCTCTGCAGGTCATTCACTAGGTCCCCCCGTGTGGTTCTGGGATTTTTGCTCACCGTTCTTGTGATCATTTTGACCCCACAGGGTGAGATCTTGCGTGGAGCCCCAGATCGAGGGAGATTATCAGTGGTCTTGTATGTCTTCCATTTCCTAATAATTGCTCCCACAGTTGATTTCTTCAAACCAAGCTGCTTACCTACTGCAGATTCAGTCTTCCCAGCCTGGTGCAGGTCTACAATTTTGTTTCTGGTGTCCTTTGACAGCTCTTTGGTCTTGGCCATAGTGGAGTTTGGAGTGTGACTGTTTGAGGTTGTGGACAGGTGTCTTTTATACTGATAACAAGTTCAAACAGGTGCCATTAATACAGGTAACGAGTTAAATAATAAGTTACAGGTCTGTGAGAGCCAGGAATCTTGCTTGTTTGTAGGTGTCCAAATACTTATTTTCCACCATAATTTGCAAATAAATTCATAAAAAATCCTACAATGTGATTTTCTGGAGAAAAAATCTCAATTTGTCTGTCATAGTTGACGTGTACCTATGATGAAAATTACAGGCCTCTCTCATCTTTTTAAGTGGGAGAACTTGTACAATTGGTGGATGACCAAATACTTTTTTTCCCCACTGTATGTGTGTGGAAAACATTTCATCATAGGTAAGACATTAAACTTGTTTAGTACAGCCAATTTGTAACTCCACTCAATACTTGTAGCTGTGTAGTCCATTTGTGATGTTGATCTTGGTTAGCTTAATGTTCCGGTCGGTAGCTAGCACTCACAAGTGGCCGCTAGCATCATCATGAAAAGGGGCATGAGGGAAGCCCTACAATATTACATTTTTCTAAGTAGTGAGAATGCTTGGGAGCAGGCAATGTTGAAAAGTAATCTTTAGACATGTACTTTTCTTAATTGTAGTATTGTAATTGACTAAAACAGCCAGACAAAAATAAAATAATCATTTGAAACAGGTAAAGTTTTTGCTGTGAGCCAATGGGGTAACCTAGGTAAACCCAGGTTGTTTTCCCCACAGGCGGGCAGGGTCGACTGGGTCTATTGATTCAAAACATTATCACAGTCATGTACGGGAGTAAACCCTAGCTCATAGAGATCCTATATTCCTAATTATATGCCTTAGTTTGCCTTGCCATGACTTTACAAATTCTTCTTAGCCATAAAAATCCGACACGATGTTCATTACATTCTCTCTCTAGTCAGAACAGCAAAGCCTAATATGGGAGGGTACTCCTAATTATTCCAAATGACAAATCGAAAAGACTGAAATACAGCTAGTTTAATAAAACTGCCTGCTAGGATAGCTAATGCTAAGGCAACACTTCCGGTAGCTATTCACCCCAACGCTAGGCATCGCTTTTTTGTGGAATCCAATGCATTGGCTGCTACAGCATTAGCTAGCCTAGCATGCTGACAAAAAATACAATTACATTAAAATCTAGCAGCATTTCAATCTTTTTGATTTGTCAGTTGGGATAATTAGGACTACAGTATGATCTCCCATCCCTTGACTGAGGTACATTTTCTGTTCCATCTCGTGCCAGCCTGGTCTCAGACTAGACGTAACATAGTAAATGTAAATCCGGAACACTCAAATTGGTATGATGTTACATTTGGTATGGTTACACAAGACAGATGTTACTTAACTAACCCTTTAACCTAACTCCTAAATGTAACCTTAACCCCTAGCCTAACTAACGTTAGCCAACTAGCAAATTAGTAACATATAATATATTTTTGCAAATTTGTAACATATAAAGAGGCAGAGCTGGGGTGTACATGCGCCAACCGGAAGGTTTGGATGTGGAAGGAGCATGTCGGAATCCGGGAGAAAGAGAGCGCGCTTGTTTGAAATGGAAAAGAATCACAGTAGCTATTGATAAAGAAGAACATCAAGACGAAGCAGCTGATTTACAAGTGGGATGCGCTGTTGAGCGCTACATCCCGAGGGGTTCGTGATGATTGTATGGAGATTGTGACAGCCGATTAAATGGCGTCCCTTAACAAGGCAAGAACAAGATGTATGTCAGGAGAAGTGCAGTATTATCATAAGGAGAGTTATACTTGGAATACAGAGGAGGAAAGGAAGGAGAAAAGAGAGGGAGGGAGGAAGAGGGTGAGCTTGAGTCAGTTAAAAATGGCGGGAATAGGGTGGCGTGAGTGGAAAAACAGTCTGTTCTTTTGAGTTTTGATGTTGAGTCTTTGTCCGACAAAGTGATGTTAGGATATAGAAGTTATCCTGTACAAGCTTTTGTGGCGAATACATTACGTTGTTACAGGTGTCAAGCTTATGGGCATGTTGCAGCAGTGTGTAGAGGGAGGTTCCTAGGTGTGAGATGTGTACAGAAGGGCATGAGACAAAGGAAAATGTGGCATTGGGGAAAGTAGTGGTATGTGTTAATTGTAAGGGTACCCATGGGGCTGGGGATCAGAAATGGCCCGTGCGAGAGAGGCAGGTTGAGGTTTCCAGGGTTAGAGTAGTGCAGAAGTTGTCATATGCTGAGGCAGTGAATAAAGTAGAGGAAGATGGGTCAGGGATCCTGAGAGAAGTGGTGTGAGTAGTAGATCTGTACCGGTACAGAGGGATACACCAACAAGTGATATATGTTTCAGTAAGATTGGATTTTTGGCATTTATAGCAATGGTTATCAAATGTACTGCAGGGTCCAAGTCGCAGAAAATAGAGGTTGCGGTGGCAGCTGCAGAGAGGTATTTGGGTGTGCGAGACTTGACATCAGAAGAGTTACAGGGTGTGTTAAGTGGTGGCGTCCCATCCTTTCAGGCTGTTGGCCCGATGTAGGACTAAATAGAATTAGATAGTGGAGTATGGTTTTTATTTTTTGTGAGTGTAGTGTTATATGGTAGGGTATTCGTTTTTTTTTTTTTATTTTAAAGCAAAGTATAAGGGCGTTATACTCCAGTCTAGTAGGTGGCGGTAATGCAACATTTATTGGATGGCAACCGCCGTTAAACCTCACCGAAGAAGTAGTAACATACATACATATATATTAAATACGCATTGGAATTCGTAACATGTCATATGAAATGGGTGATTGACATCCACAAATTAATACATACCGTACGAAAGGTAACATATCATACTAAATGAAGTTGCTCGCACCGGCTCCGCGGTGTCCTGATCGTGGTATAGCCGCGTTCCGAATAGAGAGAATGTAATGAACGTCTAATCGGATTCTTGTGGCTAGAATTCTAAAAATGTAAAGCAGTGTTGCCAACTTAACTACTTCGTCGCTATATTTAGCGAGTATTCAGACCCCTCTAGCGACTTTTTCTGGTGTTATTGGAGACTGACGTGAAAGCATGTATCGTTCTTACTCTTCTCAACGAGCAGTGGGTGCTGCCGTGGGCCCCACCACAGTCCCAAAGCACTCACAGGCGGCCCAGTCCTCACGCAACGGTCCCTCCCAGCTGCAGTCAGAGCAGGAGATGTTCACCCCTCCCAGTCCAGACTGCAAATGAATCGCGCATGCGGGAAGCAGCCTCTGGCTGATCCCGCCCTGCCTTACATTCAGGGCGGGATGTAAATGTACAACTTTATTTTTTTAAAGAATTGACAGAAGAAAGTTAATTTGTAGTTCTAAACATATTTAGCTTGTTTTTTTTACCTCTCCCACGACGTTATTCCTCTCTCCTACAGTGTCCATCACAATTACATGCACATTGCCAATAACGCATATTAGGTGATGACGTCATTTAGCGACTTTTAGGACAGCCAATAGCTACTTTCTTTGCTGAGGAGTTGGCAACACCATGAATTCAAGACAGCTCAACCTGCATGTGCTAAGCGAACAAACTAGCTAACAGCAGCAATCGGCTAGCAGGCGGCTAACAATTCCTAACCCCCTCCACAACCAGAAATGAATACAATTAAAACACAAATGTGCGTTCTTTGTAAGACATGTTGTGGGATTGCATAGTGCCATGGTTCTTAAATTATAGTAAAGGTCGAGCCTGGAGCCACAAATGGGACCCTGGACGACCTCTCACCCATTTCACAACAAACTCCCCTCGTTTCAACTGCGCAACATTATCGTCGCGTCTATATAAATTACGCATCGAAATGGACAAACCTGAGCGCTTCGGCCCGCTTTCCATAGCTTCATTTGATCGGTTGCTTTCCCTCTATCCTCAGCCATCTTGAAGGCAGAACTTTAAACCACAAATGCGTGCTAGCAAGCTAAATAGAAGAGTTTGTGTACTTTGTACGGCTTGGCTCCTCCTCCTTGGCTAATGGAGTATTCATTCCGCCGATTCTGTTGCAAAACGTTTCTTAAACGTAACGTAACGGGGAGGGACTTAAAATCATTTTTCCAATAGAAACTCTCGTTTTTGTTTGGCCTAATGACCTAGCTAGTTTAGTAGACTGCTAGACTGGATGACCTAGCTAGCTAGCTACTTTTGGACCAAAGGGCAACAAAGGGAGAGATAAAGGGAAAGAAGCAGGGAGAGAACAAAATCATAGATAACATTGAACAAAGACGTTAAACCAGGCCATTTGTTGCATTTCTTATATTTCAAACAATGTTTACACAATACACATATTTGGTGGCACATTCATAACAAGTGCTAAACAAGTACATGCATGGCATTGATCACAAAATGCAAATGCTCACTGTAGGCTAAATGAAAATATTGCTTCAATAATGAATTTGGCACAGTAGGAAATATTGTATCACATTGTTGATTGTGGAATGCAAAGGAGTGGCAAGGAGTGGTTGCCCAGATGCAGCATTTAACAAGCTTCTTGTTAGAATTTTTGTTGAGGTTATTGAGTGACAATACTGTATTTGTGTGCCTTAAATGCATGGTTAGTTTTGCAATGAATTAATAAAAATCACATTCGCCAGGTAATAAGGGCGATCTGACCTGTTTATACAATGCAAGGGGAGGTCACTTGTTAATTCACATTCTGTTGTACAAACATTATTATTGCCAAACTGTTACACAAAGCAAATAAAGGTCTTCATTACATCCCCTCACAATGCAACCAAGTGAAATAATCAGTTACATCCAAGTCAACAGTAATGGTTGTCGAGGTAATCATCGATAAAGCCCATTTTAGTATTTGATGCATTCACCCAGATAACGTGGTGCTCTTACTCCAAAAGTGAGTCCAGAAGGTTATGTTTAGCAGTTTAAAGCACATAGAGGATAACATGTGTAAAACTGACCACTAAATGCATCCACAAACAATTATTACACGTTTATAAGGGCTACGTAAGCATGACATATGGCTTCATTGTGGAATCCATTGGATGACATTCCTTTTATGACATACCAAGAATAAATCGATCTACTAAATTAATATTCACCTGATAATGTGTTTGTGTAACTGTAGTATTGGCTTTTTATGATTATGAATATGCAATGAAAGTGCAGATGCACTAATTATCAACATAATAACATAATAATACATATTTGAATGAATAAATATATATATTTGAATGAATAAAACAAAAACAAAGCAGTTGTACATTATTTACATTCCTAACACTGTTTAAACAGAATGACATTGCAACTTGTATTGCATTTATTATGATACAAATAGTAAAATGCATCAAGTTATAGTACCTACACTACCAGTCAAAAGCTTGGACACACCTACTCACTCAAGGGTTTTTCTTTACATTGTAGAATATTCGTGAAGACATCAGTGTTAAACAAATCTAAATATATGTTATATTTGAGATTCTTCAAATAGCCACCTTGATGACAGCTTTGCACACTCTTGGCATTCTCTTAACCAGCTTCATGAGGTAGTCATCTGGAATGCATTTCAATTAACAGGTGTGCCTTCTTAAAAGTTAATTTGTGGAAATTATTTCCTTCTTAATGCGTTTGAGCCAATCAGTTGTGTTGTGACAAGGTGAGGGGGGGGGGGGGGTATACAGAAGATAGCCCTATTTGGTAAAAGACCAAGTCCATATTATGGCAAGAGCAGCTCAATTAAGCAAAGAGAAAGTTCATTAGAGTTACCAGCCTCAGAAATTGCAGCCCAAATAAATGCTGCACAGAGTTCAAGTCACCGACACATCTCAACATCAACTGTTCAGAGGGGACTGTGTGAATCAGGCCTTCATGGTCTAATTGCTGCAAAGAAACCACTACTAAAGGACACCAATAATAAGAAGAGACCTGATTGGGCCAAGAAACACGAGCAATGGACATTAGACCGGTGGAAATGTGTCCTTTGGTCTGGAGTCCAAATTTGAGATTTCTGGTTCCAACCGCCGTGTCTTTGTGAGACGCGGTGTGGGTGAACGGAGGATCTCCGCATGTGTAGTTCCCACCGTAAAGCATGGAGGAGGTGTTGTTATGGTGTGGGGGTGCTTTGCTGGTGACACTGTCTGTGATTTATTTAGAATTCAAGGCACACTTAACCAGCATGGCTACCACAGCATTATGCAGCGATACTCCATCCCATCTGGTTTGGGCTTTGCGGGAGTTTTATTTGTTTTTCAACAAGACAATGACCCAACACACCTCCAGGCTGTGTAAGGGCTATTTTACCAAGGAGAGTGATGACGTGCTGCATCAGATGACCTGGCCTCCACAATCCCCCGACCTCAACCCAATTGAGATGGTTTGGGATGAGTCAGAGGGCAGAGTGAAGGAAAAGCAGCCAACAAGTGCTCAGCATATGTGGGAACTCCTTCAAGACTGTTGGAAAAGCATTCCAGGTGAAGCTGGTTGAGAGAATGCCAAGAGTGTGCAAAGCTGTCATCAAGGCAAAGGGTGGCTATTTGATATATATTTTGATTTGTTGAACACTTTTTTTGTTACTACATGATTCCATGTGTTATTTCATAGTTTTGATGTCTTCACTATTATTCTACAATGTAGAAAATAGTAAAAATTAAGAATAACCCTTGAATGAGTAGGTGTGTCCAAACTTTTGACTGGTACTGTATATACCTGTTAGGTCAGATTTGGGCACCCTGTTACAATTGCTACAAATTACAATTGATATCACCTGGATTTGAGAACCTGGATTTTAAAAAGCACAAGAAGATATGATACATACCAAAAACCATACTAGGAAAAGTTTGTCACTCTCACATTTTACAAATGATCACAAGCAAATCTGATAAAGCTTACCACGCCACCTGCCAATTAGTCCTGCATACCACTAGGTGCAGAGTAAGACTGGTTTCAAAAGACAAATGACTAGTTTCCTGAAAAAAGAAGCTATTTTACCCCTTCCTTTTTTATTCTCCCTATCTGGAGGACAGTAAAATAGTACTACAGTAGGCACCATGCAAAGAGGAGTGACCGGCGGGGTCGGGATCAACTCCAATCCAATTCAGGAAGTGGAAAATCCTCCTTGAAAATAAATGGCACTTTTTCTTTTCTCAAACTGGAATTTCAATGTATCCCCTGAATGGAGTGAATTGAAATGGAATTGAGCCCAACCCTGGTGACCGGAGGTAAGGTACAGGGGGAGATCGAGGGGTACTAGGTCCTCCGCAGAGGGTGCCACATGGACACAGGTTTCCTCAGTGTTGCCAACATCTGGTTCCAGTGGGTGATGCCCATGCCGCTCGCCTCGGGCCCGATAATCACGTGACCCACGTTCTCGCCCCTGCCGTCGTCGGTGCCCTCCGCCACTGTGATCCTCAGGGAGAGTTCCTGAAGATGGAGCACAGTGTCAGCACCAGCCCTCGGCCCCAACATAGTACAGTGCAATCCTCTTATAGTAATCAAATCAGTACAGGACAATCTGATCACTATAAATGGTTTACCACTATAACTGCATTCACTATAAGATTAGTGCACTGTAGTACTCCAGAGAGGGTCAAAAGTGAAGCCTATGTGGTTCACAGTGTTAATGCAGTCTAACAACAACTGCTCAACCAAAATACAACTATAAAGTCACATTTAATTTGATAAGAGCGAATTTCATTTGACTAAATCCGTTCAGCTGTCCTTTCACTACCATGGTACCATCCCTTCCCAGTGTCACCTGTAACACGACAGCAGGCACAGAGAAGATCATGGCTTCGTTGAAGATGGGGTTGGTGTCGTCTCTTTTCATGGAGGTCTTCTTCTTGCTGATCTTCTTACCATCTTGCAGAAGGTACACTTTGACAAAGGGATCTATTAACAGAGAGATTGTGACAGCTTTGTTCACAAACTATTTAAATACCAAAAGTGTCATCAGAGATAATAGTCTCTGTGTAGACAGCGATAAAAGTAAAACAAAAAAATATATGTTTTAACCCATGCGACCATTGTTCTTCATATTTAACTTTACATGTTAGCATAATGGAGGAAAAGTTAGGGTAAATATTTCATTTAACGAAAAATGTACCCCCTTTTTGAGACATTCAGTCATGAATTCTAGTGATAATTATGGCAAATCACTTTGCAAAAAGCAAAATAGAAAGATAAATTGTTGAATGATTGGGTAATATATAGTATTGATGTGAATAGGTAAATCACACAGGATGCTATACAGTGAGGGAAAAAAGTATTTGATCCCCTGCTGATTTTGTGCGTTTGCCCACTGACAAAGAAATGATCAGTCTATAATTTTAATGGTAGGTTTATTTGAACAGTGAGAGACAGAATAACAACAAAAAAATCCAGAAAAACGCATGTCAAAAATATTATAAATTGATTTGCATTTTAATGAGGGAAATAAGTACTTGACCCCCTCTCAATCAGAAAGATTTTTGGCTCCCAGGTGTCTTTTATACAGGTAACGAGCTGAGATTAGGAGCACACTCTTAAAGGGAGTGCTCCTAATCTCAGCTTGTTACCTGTATAAAAGACACCTGTCCACAGAAGCAATCAATCAGATTCCAAACTCTCCACCATGGCCAAGACCAAAGAGCTCTCCAAGGATGTCAGGGACAAGATTGTAGACCTACACAAGGCTGGGATGGGCTACAAGACCACCGCCAAGCAGCTTGGTGAGAAGGTGACAACAGTTGGTGCGATTATTAGCAAATGGAAGAAACACAAAAGACCTGTCAATCTCCCTCGGCCTGGGGCTCCATGCAAAATCTCACCTCGTGGAGTTGCAATGATCATGAGAACGGTGAGGAATCAGCCCAGAACTACACGGGAGGATCTTGTCAATGATCTCAAGGCAGCTGGGACCATAGTCACCAAAAAAACAATTGGTAACACACTACGCTGTGAAGGACTGAAATCCTGCAGCGCCCGCAAGGTCCCCCTGCTCAAGAAAGCACATATACATGCCCGTCTGAAGTTTGCCAATGAACATCTGAATGATTCAGATGAGAACTGGGTGAAAGTGTTGTGGTCAGATGAGACCAAAATGGAGCTCTTTGGCATCAACTCAACTCGCCATGTTTGGAGGAGGAGGAATGCTGCCTATGACCCCAAGAACACCATCCCCACCGTCAAACATGGAGGTGGAAACATTATGCTTTGGGGTGTTTTTCTGCTAAGGGGACAGGACAACTTCACCGCATCAAAGGGACAATGGATGGGGCCATGTACCATCACATTTTGGGTGAGAACCTCCTTCCCTCAGCCAGGGCATTGAAAATGGGTTGTGGAAAGGTATTCCAGCATGACAATGACCCAAAACACACGGCCAAGGCAACAAAGGAGTGGCTCAAGAAGAAGCACAGTAAGGTCCTGGAGTGGCCTAGCCAGTCTCCAGACCTTAATCCCATAGAAAATCTGTGGAGGGAGCTGAAGGTTCGAGTTGCCAAACGTCAGCCTCGAAACCTTAATGACTTGGAGAAGATCTGCAAAGAGGAGTGGAACAAAATCCCTCCTGAGATGTGTGCAAACCTGGTGGCCAACTACAAGAAACGTCTGACCTCTGTGATTGCCAACAAGGGTTTTGCCACCAAGTCCTAAGTCATGTTTTGCAGAGGGGTCAAATACTTATTTCCCTCATTAAAATGCAAATCAATTTATATCATTTTTGACATGCGTTTTTCTGGATTTTGTTGTTGTTATTCTGTCTCTCACTGTTCAAATAAACCTACCATTAAAAAAATAGACTGATCATTTCTTTGTCAGTGGGCAAACGTACAAAATCTGCAGGGGATCAAATACTTTTTTTTCCCTCACTGTAGACAAACATAAGAGCTAAAGCTGTAAAGTAGTGTCACCTGCTGTGGTTTTGTCATTGGTCCACACAAGGTTCTTTGCCTTGGCCACCACCACTGTAAGGCGCTCAGCGGTGGGCAAGTAGCTAAGAGACAGCAGAATCTCCCCAACTGCATCCACGGCCTACAGACAACACAAGCCAAAAGAGGCCATTGTTGCACACTGCACAGAAACGACCGTCACTGACGATTCTATAAAGATGAAACTGTTTACATGATTTATCCTCAAAAGGCCACCTATCTCCATGTCTCATGTTCTCCTTCCTGCCATCAGCACTTTTAAAACGTACATTTTATATGCTTTATTACCCTTACAAAAATAAACATGAAGGACCTCCCGAGTGGCGCAGTGGTCTTAGGCACTGCATCGCAGTGCTAGCTATGCCACTAGAGATCCTGATTCGAGTCCAGGCTCTGTCGCAGCCGGCCGCGACCGGGAGACCAATGGGGCGGTGCACAATTGGCCTAGCGTCGTCCAAATTAGGGGAGGGTTTGGCTGGTAGGGATGTTCTTGTCCCATCGCGCACTAGCGACTCCTGTGGCGGGCCTGGCGCAGTGCAAGCTGACAAGGTCGCCAGGTGTACAGTGTTTTCTCCGACACATTGGTGCGGCTGGCTTCCGGGTTAAGCGGGCATTGTGTCAAGAAGCAGTGCGGCTCGGTTGGGTTACGTTTCGGAGGATGCATGCCTCTCCCGAGTCCGTACGGGAGTTGCAGCGATGGGACAAGACTTACTACCAATTGGATACAACGAAATTGGGGAGAAAAAGGGGGTATAGGAAAAAACTATTACATTTTTTAAACATGGTTTTCGGACACGTGTGAACAAATAATGTGAAAATGTTCATAATATGATAAATAAATTATTCACATTCTAAATTTTCACAAGTCAGACGTGGTTTTCAGAGTCGTGTTAAGTTTCACCTGTACATTTTTCACGTTTGTCCCTCGTGAAAAATAATTTCCCCACGTGACATTTGTTTTCACAGGATTATTTTTACCACTTCCAGCTACATCTGGTCTCCCATCCAGGGTCTGAGTAGTACCAACCCTGCTTAGCTTCAGAGGCAGTGAGTGTTTACCTTTGCTTTGTTTACAAACATTGGAAACTGCAAATTAGATTAGTTTCCTTTCACATGTGGAGTTGTTCGTGAAAAACAATCACATGTAAAAATCTAATTTGCAGTTTCATATGTGAAAAACTTTAATGTGAAAATCTCACATTAATGTGATTGTTTTTCACGTAAACTTGCAACTCCACATGTAAATGTGCGATTTTCACATATGGAGTTGTGTTATGTGAAAAAGCAAATTAGATTTTTTCACGTGATTGATTTTCACATGTGAACTTGCAATTCCACATGTGAAAGTGAGATTTTCACATGTGGAGTTGTTTTACATGTGAAACGGCAAATGTGAATGTTTTTAACATGTGAAACCGCAAATTTCACATGTGAAACTACAATTCACGTGAGGTGAAAACATGGTGTCTTTCTCACATGTGAAAAGGTGGTGATAACATGAGAACTCTACATTTTATACATGTGAAAAATATGGTTTCACATGTGAAATTTCAGCTCAACATGTGAAAACAGCTATTTCACATGTGAAACTGCAAAATGGACGTGTTTTTTTTGTAAGGGTAAAGAGATGAGAGAAAGACAGGAGGAGAATGTAAAATGGGCAGTGGGCCAGATTCCAACCCACGCCGACACTGAGACATGTGTGCTGTAGGTGGCAGGCCACAGGACATCAGCACATTAGGGCAATACTAAAAATCAACCCAAAGGTGCTGATTTTTACCTTGTTAACATCTTGCAGGTAGAGCCAGGCGTTAAAGGGTCTGATAGAAAGGTCCAGGTCAGACAGCTTGAGCTCTGCTAGCCCGGCGCTGATGTTCCTCTCCTCCGCGTCGATGCCGAATGCGGCAAAGCGCAGGCTGTTCTCCTCCAGACAAGATGGATCCAGGGCTATGGAGAAACGCTCGTCGAACACGACTGTGAAAGCGTTCCTCTGGACCTGCATCACAATCAAAACATCTTAGTGAGCAAGTTCTAGATCTGGATTATGTCAAACAACACAACAAACATAGGATTAACAGGTCTGCCGGTTAGTTTATAAATATTATTACCAACAGTGAAATACTTACAGGCCCTTCCCAACAATGCAGAGAGAAAAATATTAACATGAGGAATAAATTCACAATGAGTAATGATAACTTGCCTATATACACAGGGTACCAGTGCCAAGTCGATGTGCAGGGGTACGAAGTAATTGAGGTAGATACAGTATGTACATATAGGTAGGGGTAAAGTGACTAGGCAAAAGGATAGATAATAAACAGGTCCTGGAGAGCAGGGAACTCGGCCCCAGTGATATACTGGGCCGTACGCATTACCCTTTGTAGCGCCTTGCGGTTGGATGCCAAGCAGTTGCCATACCAAGCGGTGATGCAGCCAGCCAAAATGCTCTCAATTGTGCAGCTGTAGACCTTTTTGAGGATCTGAGGGCCCATGCCAAATCTTTTCAGTCTCCTGAGGGGGAAGAGTCATTGTCGTGCCTTCTTCATGACTGTGTTGGTGTGTGTGGGACATGTTAATTCCTTAGTGATGTGGACACCGAGGAACTTGAAGCTCTCGACCTGCTCCACTCCAGCCCCATCAATGTGGATGGGGGCGTGCTCGGCCCTCCTTTTCCTGTAGTCCACGATCAGCTCTTTTGTCTTGCTGACGTTGAGGGAGAGGTTGTTGTCCTGGCACCACACTGCCAGGTCACTGACCTCCTCACTATAGGCGGTCTCATCGGTGATCAGGCCTACCACCATCATGTCGTCAGCAAACTTAATGATGGTGTTGGAGTCGTGCGTGCATTCGTGGGTGAGCAGGGAGTGCAGGAGGGGACTAAGCACGCACCCGAGGGGCCCCCGTGTTGAGGGTCAGCGTGGCAGATGTGTTGTTGCCTACCCTCACCACCCGTCAGGAAGTCCAGGATCCAGTAGCAGAGGGAGGTTAGTCCCAGGGTCCTGACCTTAGTGATGAGCTTGGAAGGCATTATGGTGTTTAACGCTGAGCTGTAGTCAATGAACAGCGTTCTCACATAAGTGTTCCTCTTGTACAGGTGGGAGAGGGCAGTGTGGAGTGCAATAGAGATTGCGTCATGTGTGGATCTGTTGGGGCGGTATGCGAATTGGAGTGGGTCCAGGGTTTCTGGGATGATGGTGTTCATGTGAGCCATGACCAGCCTTTCAAAGTATTTCAAGGCTACAGATGTGAGTGCTACGGGTCGGTAGTCATTTAGACAGGTTACCTTGGCGTTCTTGGGCACAGGGACTATGTTGGTCTGCTTGAAACATGTAGGTATCACAGACTGGGTCAGGGGGAGATAAAAACAATTCAGTGAAGACACCCGCCAGCTGGTCAGCGCATGCTAAGAGTACGCGTCCTGGTAATCCGTCTGGCCCCGCGGCCTGTTTAAAGGTCTTACTCACATCGGCTACGGCGAGCGAGATCACACAGATCTCAAAATGCAAATTAGCCAAGGCTGCTTTCATAACACAACATAACCTGCATCTTAACACAATAGTATTTTTGGTAAATTGTCATACAAACTGTGTGGAATTTCTTCATGAAAGCCCATAGTGGATTTATAAAACCTGCATAATATCATAAGTTGAATGCAGCAATTTGTAAGTCGCTCTGGATAAGAGCGTCTGCTAGATGATGTAAATGTAAATAAATGTTAATAATATTCCGGAAGAGTAACCTTGGAGTCTGCCCTTTATCAAACACCAGAATCACATTATCACCCTACTTCAAACAACTGCAGAATCTGAAGCACCACTCAACTGTAAATAAGCACGGCTGGATATGAATCACATCCAACACAATGAACACATTCTCCTCTGTCTGTAATGTGTTCATCATGTTTTCCTACTTGGAGCATTCCCCACATCTCTAATTTGTGACAGTCTGAACATTTAAAATGATGGTTTAGGCGATTACCACCACTATACAGTGTGACTGTGAGGGAAAAGGGAACCGTCGGAGAGCTAGAGAAAGAAGCCAGGCTTAACGGCTTGCTCCCCTGTGGATTGTGCCGAGTGGAGCAGTGGATCCAGCTGATGTCAGCATTTCCCCCCGGTCTCCAACATTCCTCGATGCAGCCGCACTAGTGGCTATCATTGAGGCCAGTGTGAACGCATTAATACAGTGATTTGCTCTGATCCTGTGGTCCTCTGTAGCTCAACTGGTAGAGCATGGCGCTTGTAACGCCAAGGTAGTGGGTTCGATCCCCGGGACCACCCATACACAAAAATGTATGCACGCATGACTGTAAGTCGCTTTGGATAAAAGCGTCTGCTAAATGGCATATTATATATTATTATCTTGCAGTACAGAGGGTGACAAGCCTGGAGACTTTGGTGGTTACTGTACATTGTGGTGCAGTGTGGTTGCAATGATCATGTTTGTGGATGTAGCCTACTGTGTGTGACAGAAACTAGCCCTTTATTCCGGCTCAAACCTACTGCAAGAAGCCCCAGGAGACTTGGTGCTGCAAATCAAATACACTTTCCCAGAATAGGATTAGCCCATCGAGCTGAAGGCTCAAAACTCTAACCCAAGGGACTCATTGCTCTCTCTCTCTCTGACTCCAGGCTTGGGTGATGATGTTATCAACACTTCTCAGCTAACAAGAAAAGTTACCAAAACCAGGGGAGAACGACTGCCGCCTCTCATAGAAGCAACAAAAATTGAAGGCCAACCACGGTACTGCAGGCATTGTTAGTGGAAAAATAAATAAGGATCTCCATTATAGTGAATGGGAAAATGGCAAACTTCGTCATCAATTTTCATGTCAATAAAATAATATGGAGGACAATCAAGGTACCAATAATAGCTTCTAATGCACCAGATGTATGTCCTTGAACCGATTATTTTAAAATCACACACAGAAGAAGTTAAGGATAATTTAGTTGCTAATGGAAGCCTGCAGTACCCCGGTCGGCCTTCAACTTGAGTTACTCAATGAGAGGGGCAGCACTGAGCTAGCGTGCAACATCACTTCCTGGAGTAGCTCAAACTGCGCATGTTATGTCTCCATGAGACACCATTCTAACCGACTTAATTTGGCTTCAATGCGTTATTGAGACTTCACATAGGAATGAATGGTATCAAAAATGCACACAAGGGCATCATCATAGCGCGCAACAGAACAGTGTACTGTCTACACTCGGTTTGTTGTTTTTATGAAATAGTTTTCATGAAATAGTTGTAACTAAAGTTTGTATTGCTACGGATTTCACTACACGGTCAGCCTTTACGGCTGGGACAGAGCAGGCTAAGGCTAGCAGTGCTAGCCCACCTGTGTTTTTATCCACGGTTGGGTACAAATGCTTCAGGTGTGAGATGATTTCCACACAATCACAAGAATAAGATAAGGTGGAACTTGAAAATAAACAGGGATTTGTCTGCCCTAAATGCACCACCATCAAGCACTTTAGGGAAGAGATCCCCTGGCTATGTAGTTCGGCTGCGAGAAAAGGTTATATAATCTGCTTTCTATGTACACCGACCTTGCTGTAACCCAGGCAAACCGAACCTCAGTTTTAAATGCCTCCTATAGCAAAGCTGTCGATGGGTCAAACGGCGTTAATCTGTACCAATCCAACAGACAGATGTTAAACTCAAATCCGCAGCCCATGGGAGACTGGACACTCGCAAGGCGTAGGAGTTTGGGAAGGCAGTCTGGCCACCCTTCATCTATCCGAGAAGATCCGATCCAGCTATCAAACAGCTTTTCCCCGCTTGAGACGGACCTACATGCCCCAGGAGTCAGCACGGATCCTGGGTGTATACCAACAGCCGGCGGCCAGTGGCACCCTGCCCACAGACACCGCAGTTCAGCAGGTCGCTTCCCCATCGGATTCCATCACAACCACCATCATTGTGGGCAGCTCGATGGTGAGAGATTTTGGCCTGCCTATGATCTGTGGACCGACCAAGGTCCACTGTCACCCAGGAGCCCGTGTCCACGACATCAACTCCCTCCTGCCCACGGTTCTGGCCAACTACTCCAATATTGAAACCATTGTCACTCGTAGATTTGAACAGCCTTCGATTTAGGCGATCTGAGGAACTGAGCGAGGACTACATGTTTTAAACACCCTCGCTAGCACAGTGAAGAGAATAATTATCTCTGGCACCCTCCCATGCTACCGAAGGGGCTCGGAAAGTTTCAGCCGACTCTTTGCCCTGAACGAGTACCTGAATAAATTTTGCAATGACAGGAATGTCTTTGTGACAACTTTGATTTTCTGTGGGAGCAACCAGCACTTTTTAAAAGAGACGGGATTCACCCTAACCGAAGGGGTTCCAGGATTATTTCCAGCAACATCGCAAACTGTTTTATAGACTGACGGACATGGTCTGGTAGTGCTCCAATTCTCCCTTTCAGAATAAGCAACAGAGGACTTGTAAAGCATGTCAACTCCTGTAGAAATGGCACTATGGTTATTGTGAGAAACCTCATTTATGTTCCTTTAACTCCGCCTTCTAGTGAGTTTACAGTATACAAACTGTCATCTCCTACCATTCTGATAGATTGGAGAAAACGTGGTTGTAACGTTAATAATTTGGTTGTTATTCCATTGGTTACCTCGATGTACATGCCCACACTCATTGAATATGGCGCATTTAAATGTTAGAGCAATCACATGTAAAAACCTTTCTTGTGAATGATCTCATTACTGAGCGCAAAGTTGATTGCATATTTCTCACTGAAACATGGCTGTCATCAGACTGTAGTGCCACTCTTATTGAAGCCTCCCCCCCCGGACTATAGCTTTTCATACTCTATCAGAAAAGGGAAAGAGTGGGGGGACATCCTCTATTTTTACTACTGCTCTCAGCTGTAAGGGCATTTCGTTTGGCGACTTTGGGTCTTTTGAGCATCATGCTATACTGTTTAAATGTCAGCCACCTGTGCTGGCCATAACCCTGTATAGGCCACCAAAGCACTGCCCCATTTTCTTTACTGATTTATCTGAACTATTGTCCTTGAGAACTATGATAAAATCATTGTGTTGGGTGATTTTAATATTCATGTTGACAAAGACACTGACTCCAAGGCCATTGAATTTATGAATCTTTTGTGCTCTATGGACTTTATCCAACATGTTACTGGGCCCACCCATAACCGCGGCCATACTCTGGAGCTGGTTATTACCAAGGGGCTTTCTATTGACATAGCCTCTATTGTTGATGTTGCTTTATATGATCACCTTGTGTATTTTTTACTACCTTGTTGCCCATAGCACAGGGTAATAATGAACCCATTATTAAGACACGCTATCTTACCTCTGAAGTTGCTACAGATTTTATTGAATGTATGACCAATAATCCACCACCTATTCTGCCTTCCTCTTGTGATGATTTAGTTGATAACTTTAATAGCAAATGAAGGGCAACCATTTATACCATAGCTCCAGTAAAGTTGAAAAAGGCCAAATCCAAACAGAGAGCCCCTTGGATGAGTGAGGAAACGAATCAATTAAAGAGGAATTGCAGAAAGGCAGAGCGGAAGTGGAGAAAGTCAAAGTTGCAGGTCTATTATAATATACTGATAGAGCAACTTGGCATCTATAACAAGGTAATTAAACATGCCAGACGGGCTCATTTTTCTAACTTGATCACTATTAATCAGAATAATTTGAGAGTGCTCTTCTCGATCATTATATGGCCTAATAAATCCTACCCCGCTAACCTATGTGAACTTTCCTCCACATCTAAATGTGATGAGTTTGCGGCATATTTCAGAGATAAGATTAGGCTGGGTATCAGTCAAGCAAGACCTGATGAGAAGTTTAATGTTATGTGCCCTAGCCTACCACGCAAAGGCACTATGAATTTATTTTCCCTGGTTGACACAGACATGCTCAGGAAACTTAAGCCTTCTACCTGCCTTCTCGATCCTATCCCCACCACCTTCTTCAAAACAGTTTTTAATTGCATATCTAAAGAAGTGCAAGCTATTGTTAAAAACCGCTATGGTGAAACCCCTTCTGAAGAAAAGTAATCTAGATTATTCAACTCTTAGTAATTTTTGGCCAACCTCCAACCTTCTATTCTTAAGCAACATTTTGGAGAAATTGGTTTTCAAACAGCTAAATGACTTTTTAACTGCCAAATGTATTTCTGAAAAATTCCAATCTGGTTTTTGTACCCACCACAGCACAGAGACAGCCTTAGTTAAAGTGGTGAATTATCTTAGCGCCAACACAGATGCCAAACAGCTCTCTGTCCTTGTACTCTTAGATTGAAGTGCTGCATTTGACACTGTTGAACATGATGTCTGTCACGCGTGCTGTAGGTGGGTGTAGTGGTGGAATCAAACGCAGGACACCGAAGTATAGTCCAACAGACTTTAGTAACTCTCCAACAAGGAAATAACGAGAACACTTGCCCGTAGGCGAAATAACGCACGAAGGCGAACAAAACAAATGCACACTACACAGGTGCGTAAACACTCCACGCAGTGGAGGGAAGCTCAACCGAGCGAAATAGCGAACATCAGCCCTACACACGACAGACAAAAATCAATAACACACAACACCTGACAAACACAACGAGAACTAAATAGGACACTAATGACACTAAATGAAAACAGGTGTGACAACAATCAGACAAAACCAAACGAACATGAAACATACAACGGTGGCAGCTAGTATTCCGGAGACAACGAACGCCGAAGCCTGCCCGAACAAGGGAGAGAGGCAGCCTCGGCCGAAACCGTGACAATGTCCTTCTGGATAGACTGGAGAGGTGGGTTGGCCTCTCCGGTCCAGTTCTAAATTCTAACCTATTTAACCGGTCGAGAGTTTTTTGTAACCCTTGGTGGACATAACTCAGAGAAAATACATATCACGTGGCGTTCCACAAGGTTCGGTTCGATTTTGGGTCCGGTACTGTTCAGTTTCTATATGTTACCCCTTGGCAGCGTTATCAGAAAGCACAGCATTGATTTTCACTGCTACGCAGATGATACACAACTTTACATTTCTGTGTCACCAGAGGAATTTAGCTCCAATGATAAATTATTAGACTGTATTAGTGGGCGGCAGGTAGCCTAGTGGTTAAGAGTTTTGGGCCAGTAACCAAAAGGTCGCTGGTTCGAATCCCTGAGCTGACTAGGGGGGGGGGGGGGATCTGCCAATGTGCCTTTGAGCAAGGCACTTAACCCTAATTGCTCCTGTAAGTCGCTCTGGATAATAGCGTCTGCTAAATGAATCAAATGTCAAATGTAAATGTATTAGTGATTTAAATACTTGGATGGCTCACAACTTTCTTCAGCTAAATCAAGACAAGACCGAGGTACATATTGTTGGAGCCAAAGCAGAGAGAATCTAGCCGCACATTTTAATTCAAAGGCAATAAAGATAAAATACCAGGTTAAAAGAAAACTAGGTGATATTTTAGATTCTGAACTAAATTTCAAATCACACAATAGGAATATGACCAAAATAGCTTTTTACCACCTGAGGAACATTGACAAGGTGTGGACCGTTTCTCTCTCAGGCTGAGACTCGTCCATGCTTGACGACTGTAAAGCTCTCCTGTCTGGTCTACCCAAGAAAGCCATTGGTCAACTGCAAAACATACAGAATGCTGTAGCACGGGTACTGACCAAGACCAGATGGAGAGCACACATTACACTGGTTTTAAGGTCTCTGCACTGGCTGCCTGTGAGTTTTAGAATACATTTTAAGATTCTTCTATTGGTTTATAATCAATCCACGATTGTGCACCCCAATACGTCAGACATGTTTTTAAGTTATGTTGTCACGGTTTCGGCCGAGGCTGCTCCTCTTCCTTGTTCGGGCAGGCTTCGGCGGTCGTCGTCTCCGGAGTACTAGCTGCCACCGTTCTATGTTTCTTGTTCGTTTGGTTTTGTCTCTTTGTAACACCTGTCCCTTGTTTGTGTTTGATGATGTTCCCTATTTAGTTTCGTTTGTTTGGGTCAGGTGTTATGCGTGATTGTTTATTGTCAGACTGCCTCTGTATGGTTACATTTTCTCTCGTTGTTGCTTGTCCCGAGAGTTCGCACTGCGTGCGCTTTTCTTGTGTATTTCGCACTGTGTTTGTGCGTAATTGTTTTGCGCCACCCGGTTGGGTTGGCGACTATTTTGTTCACGTGTTTGAACGTTACTAAAAAGACGGTTGAAGTCATCCTGGTTCCTGCGCTTGATTCCTTCCACTCATCTACACACACCACTCTGACAGAATCACGCATCTATCCATGGAATCAGCAGGAGCGACCGCGCCAACAGCCGGGATGGAGGACCGTCTTCGTGGACAGGAGGATCGTATTAACCAGGTCTGTCATGCCCTGGAGGGGGTGATGAACACTCTTCACCGATGGGAAACCAGCGGGGTACCCACGCCCCCACGAACCGAACCATCCCCATCGGTCAGTCCTCCTGCCTCATCTCCGGAACCCAGTGGGATTCGGCTCTCGCTCCCGAGGGCGTACGACGGCTCCACTGCCGGGTGTCAAGGGTTCCTGCTGCAAGTGGAGCTCTACCTCGCCACCGTACACCCGGCGCCCTCGGGACACGAGAGCGTCTCAGCCCTCATCTCCTGTCTCACCGGCAAGGCGTTGGAGTGGGCCAACGCTGAATGGAGGAGAATGGACGCCGCTACCACTAACTATGCGGAGTTCTCCCGCCGCTTCCGTGCTGTGTTTGACCATCCACCAGAGGGGAAGGCGGCGGGGGAGCGTCTGTTCTACCTCCGACAGGGGATGAGGAGCGCCCAGGACTTTGCATTGGAATTCCGGACCCTAGCGGCCGATGCAGGGTGGAATGAGCGGGCCAATATCGACCACTTCCGCTGCAGCCTCCGGGAGGACGTCCAGCGAGAGTTGGCGTGCAGGGACACCTCGTTGACCTTTGACCAGCTTGTCGACATGGCCATTCGGCTGGATACCCTGCTCGCCACCCGTGGACGTCCCGGGAGGGGTTCGCCCATTCCACTCTCCAGCACCTCCGAGCCGAGCCCTATGGAGCTCGGGGGTGCTGGCGCTAGGGAACGGAGGAGTAGGAACCCGAGGGGGCCCGGTCCCTGCACTAACTGTGGCCGTGGAGGGCACACCGCGGCTAGGTGTTGGGGAGGGTCCCCCGGTGAGGGAGAAGGCAGGTCACGCATTGGGGTCCCCCCCCAGGTGAGTAGGCGCCCTACTTACCCAGAGCTTTCTGTCGTGCACCTAACCTTGCCTGTTTGTTTTCCACAGGTTGCACCTCGTTCCCAGCATAAGGCGCTGGTAGATTCAGGCGCAGCTGGGAATTTTGTAGATCGCCAGTTCTGTATAGAGTTAGGGATTCCCCTCCTTCCAGTTGATAAGCCTTTTCCCGTTCATGCCCTAGATAGCCGTCCGTTAGGGTCTGGGTTGATTAGGGAGGTCACAGCACCCCTTCAGATGATGGCGCAGGAGGGTCATGAGGAGATAATTCAGCTCTATCTGATTGACTCTCCTGCGTATCCGGTAGTGCTGGGTCTTCCCTGGTTGATGACCCATGACCCTACTATTATGTGGCAAGAGAAAGCTCTTAAAGGGTGGTCTGCCCAGTGTGAGGGGCGGTGTCTGGGTGTTTCCATAGGGGCGACCTCGGTGGAAAGTCCGAATCTAATGACAGCACTGCATATTCCCCCCGAGTATGAGGATTTGAAACTGGCGTTTAGTAAGACTAGGGCGGCGCAGCTGCCGCCTCATAGACGGGGGGATTGTGCGATAGATCTCCAGTCAGGAGCAGCTCTCCCGCGGAGCCATGTGTATCCCTTGTCTCAAGAGGAGAGAAAGGCAATGGAGACGTACATCGCTGAGTCTCTTAGACAGGGATACATACGGGCCTCCACTTCACCCGCTTCCTCGAGTTTCTTTTTTGTGAAGAAAAAGGATGGAGGTCTGCGCCCGTGTATTGATTACCGCGGTCTCAATCAGATCACAGTGAAGTACAGCTATCCACTTCCTCTGATTGCGACTATGACGGAGTCACTGCACGGTGCGCAGTTCTTTACAAAATTGGATCTCAGGAGCGCATATAACTTGGTGCGCATTAGAGAGGGCGATGAATGGAAGACAGCGTTTAGCACGACTTCCGGACACTACGAGTATCTAGTCATGCCATATGGGTTAATGAATGCTCCCTCAGTCTTCAAAACCTTCGTCGATGAGATTTTCCGGGACATGCAGGGACAGGGAGTAGTTGTGTACATCGACGACATTCTGGTGTACAGTCCTACCCGTGCAGAGCATGTAGCCCTGGTGCGCCGAGTATTGAGGAGGCTGTTGGAGCATGACCTATATGTCAAGGCAGAGAAATGTCTGTTTTTTCAGAAGTCGGTCTCCTTTCTGGGTTACCAGTTGTCTGCGTCAGGGGTGAAGATGGAGGTAGACCGGGTGTCAGCTGTGCGTAATTGGCAGACCCCAACCACTGTGAAGGAGGTGCAACGGTTCTTGGGTTTTGCGAATTATTACCGGAGGTTTATCCGGGGTTTTGGACAGGTGGCAGCTCCCATAACGTCTCTGTTAAAGGGGGGTCCGGTGCGCTTGCGGTGGTCAGCTGAGGCGGACAGGGCATTTGGGAGACTGAAGGACCTGTTTACCTCGGCGCCGGTGTTGGCGCATCCGGATCCCTCTTTACCGTTCCAGGTAGAGGTGGACGCGTCAGAGGCCGGGATAGGGGCCGTTCTTTCCCAGCGTTCTGGTACTCCACCTAAACTCCGTCCCTGTGCGTTTTATTCAAAGAAGCTCAGTCCGGCGGAGCGGAATTATGACGTAGGAGACAGGGAGCTGTTAGCCGTGGTACAGGCCCTAAAGGTGTGGCGGCATTGGCTCGAGGGGGCTCAACACCCTTTCCTCATTCTAACTGACCATCGTAACCTGGAGTACATCCGGGCAGCTAGGAGACTGAATCCTCGCCAGGCCCGCTGGACTATGTTTCTAGCCCGGTTTGTGTTTAAGATCACATACATCCCTGGGTCCCAGAACGGGAAGGCAGATGCTCTGTCTCGGCGGTATGACGCGGAGGAGAGGTCCGTTGAGCCCACGCCCATACTACCAGAGTCTTGTCTGGTTGCACCGGTGGTGTGGGAGGTTGATGGCGAGATCGAGCGGGCGTTACGCACCGACCCGAGTCCTCCACAGTGTCCAGTGGGTCGGACGTACGTTCCGCTCGAGGTACGCGATCGCCTCATTTGTTGGGCTCATACGTCCCCCTCCTCTGGCCATCCGGGTATCGGCCGGACAGTGCACTGCCTTAGCACGAAGTACTGGTGGCCAACGTTAGCTAGGGATGTGAGGATTTATGTCTCCTCCTGTTCGGTGTGTGCCCAGTGTAAGGCGCCCAGACATTTGCCCAGGGGTAAGTTACAACCCCTGCCTATTCCACAACGACCCTGGTCCCACCTCTCGGTGGATTTTGTTACCGACCTTCCCCCCTCACAGGGGAGTACTACCATCCTGGTCGTTGTGGATCGGTTCTCGAAGGCCTGTCGTCTCCTTCCCATGCCGGGTCTACCCACTGCCCTACAGACCGCAGAGGCTCTGTTCACCCATGTCTTCCGGCATTACGGGGTACCCGAGGATATAGTGTCTGACCGAGGCCCCCAGTTCACCTCCAGAGTGTGGAGAGCATTTATGGAACGGTTGGGGGTTTCGGTAAGCCTTACCTCGGGTTACCACCCGGAGAGTAATGGGCAGGTTGAACGTGTGAACCAGGATGTGGGTAGGTTTCTGAGGTCATACTGTCAGGGCCGGCCGGAGGAGTGGGCGAGATATGTGCCCTGGGCCGAGATGGCACAGAACTCTCTTCGCCACTCCTCCACCCAACTAACCCCTTTTCAGTGTGTATTAGGGTACCAGCCGGTTCTGGCACCATGGCATGAGAGCCAGATCGAGGCCCCCGCTGTGGATGAGTGGGTGCGGCGCTCGGAGGAGACGTGGGACGCTGCACACGTCCATCTGCAGCGTGCCATACGTCGACAGAAGACGAGCGCCGACCTACACCGCAGTGAGGGGCCAGTGTACGCACCTGGAGATCGAGTCTGGCTCTCAACCAGAAACCTGCTCCTCCGCCTGCCCTGCCGGAAGCTGGGTCGGCGGTTTGTGGGGCCCTTTAAAGTCCTGAGGAGATTGAACGAGGTGAGTTACAGGTTAGAACTACCTATTGATTACAAGAATATTAACCCCTCGTTCCATGTGTCTCTCCTCAGGCCGGTGGTAGCTGGTCCACTCCAGGACTTTGAGATTGAGGAGACTCCTCCACCCCCGTTGGACATCGAGGGGGCTCCGGCGTACACCGTGAGGTCCATCCTTGATTCGAGACGCCGGATGGGGGGTCTTCAATATCTCGTGGAGTGGGAGGGGTACGGTCCGGAGGAGCGGTGCTGGGTGCCAAGGAGGGACATATTGGACCAGTCCCTGCTGACCGAGTTCCATCGGGGTCATCCTGCGCGCCCTGCTCCGCGTCGTCCGGGTCGTCCCCGAGCCCCGGGTCGGCGCACGGCTGGAGCCGCGCGTCAAGGGGGGGGTACTGTCACGGTTTCGGCCGAGGCTGCTCCTCTTCCTTGTTCGGGCAGGCTTCGGCGGTCGTCGTCTCCGGAGTACTAGCTGCCACCGTTCTATGTTTCTTGTTCGTTTGGTTTTGTCTCTTTGTAACACCTGTCCCTTGTTTGTGTTTGATGATGTTCCCTATTTAGTTTCGTTTGTTTGGGTCAGGTGTTATGCGTGATTGTTTATTGTCAGACTGCCTCTGTATGGTTACATTTTCTCTCGTTGTTGCTTGTCCCGAGAGTTCGCACTGCGTGCGCTTTTCTTGTGTATTTCGCACTGTGTTTGTGCGTAATTGTTTTGCGCCACCCGGTTGGGTTGGCGACTATTTTGTTCACGTGTTTGAACGTTACTAAAAAGACGGTTGAAGTCATCCTGGTTCCTGCGCTTGATTCCTTCCACTCATCTACACACACCACTCTGACATATGTACCCAGTAGGTCCCTCAGGTCCTCTGGCACTGGCCTTTTAACTATCCCAAAGCCTAGGACCAAGAGGCATGGACAGGCAGCCTTTAGTTATTATGCCCCCAGCCTCTGGAATAGCCTGCCAGAGAACCTGAGGGGGGACACAACTGTGGACATATTTAAAAGAGATCTTAACACACATATTTTTAGCTTAGCTTTTCTTTAGGGTGCTTTTTAGTTGTTCAGTTTGTGTCATTCTTTTGTTTGTTGTGTAGTAAATATTTCAGCTTTTATTTTCATTGTTTTTTATTTGTTTTTTCCTATAAAGCACATTGCGTTGCATTCCACGTATGAAATGTGCTATATAAATATAACTTGACTTGATATGATTGATGGCTTTGTTCATTCAAAACAGAGAGAACTTTCTGTCTGGTTTCTGAGAACATTTTCAACAAGAACGATCCCAGAACATCATTAGTGTTGCATCTTCAGTGAAACATGATATCACAGAACCATTCTGCAAAGCCAAAATAAAATATGATAATATCAATCTAAAATACTATTACCACACTCACACACTCACCCTGGTGACGCCCACGTTGAGTTCCTCAGGAACCAAGGTGACCCGGATAAAGCAGCCGGGGAAGTCCCCTTCCTCCTTCTCCAGCAGGTCCTTGCCCTGGTGCAGGGCGATGTGGAGCACCCCCGGCCCAGGCCCTGGTCGGGCCTCGTACTCCAGGGTCACCTCCAGCTGCCCCACTGTGTAGTCGTGGCCAAAATTGTTGCCGATGGAGGAGATGGAGCTGAGAGAGTCGGTGGACATGGAGCGGTTGAAGGGCACCACCCCACCGGCAGGATCCATCAGGTCCCGGCTCATCAGCTCCAGGTGGCCCAGGTCCCTCAGCCCGTCCGGGGTGTCCACCAGCTGCAGGCTGGGCTTACGACTCAGGTTGATGGAGGCGGAGGCCCGTCGGTGGTTGTTGGCGACCACTCTCTGAGGATACAAACAATGCAAAATTACACATCAACTCTTGCATCAAGGTCTAAGAAATTCAATAATATTTTATTAGGTAACACTTCATATGAAGGCGGTATACATAACAACTTTATGAAACCAGTCATAAGTACCTTTATGTGTGTTGCAGTATTATTCATAACAACCTTCGTAAGACATTTATTCAACATCATTCATAAGAAATTTTCCAAATTAAAGGCCTATTGTAAAATGGAAATGTGTATTTTAACTGTCACAGTACCCAACCTCCTAACACACCATTTATTTTTATTTTTATTTTTTTAACCTTTATTTAACTAGGCAAGTCAGTTAAGAACAAATTCTTATTTACAATGACGGCCTACACCAGCCAAACACGGACGACGCTGGGCCAATTGTGCGCCGCCCTATGGGACTCCCAATCACGGCCGGTTGTGATACAGCCTGGAATCAAACCAGGGGGTCTGTAGTGATGCCTCAAGCACTGAGATGCAGTGCCTTAGACCGCTGCGCCACTCGGGAGCCCATTCACGCAACATGCTGAGAGTTTAGGGGTTAAATGCATTGCTCAAAGCCCTGGGTGTAGTACCTTTCAAATACATAAGCTAGCTGAGCTTGCCTGGGGCAATGAAATCAATGGAATAGTCCCAAAAGTGCAAACTCCGCCCACCCATCTGGCACTCCAGGCATGCTCAAGCAAACGCTCAAATAATGTGAAAGATTTCTGACACCATTAGGATTGCACCTGAGAAATGGTTTGCCATTGTAATGTTGTAGTAAGCAATCTTAGCTGAGACCTGAAGACTTGCATTACCTCCTTTACCTTTATCTTAGCAGGCTAAGACAGTATGGTGGTGAGTGAGCAGGAGACCTGGGCTTGAACCCACCCCAGTTAGTAACACCAGCAACCATCTGGCTCATTCCTACCAGAAATGTTCATACTATAATAATAAGGGACCTCTTATGAATAATGTTGAATAAATCTGTTACAAATGCTGTATGAATGATATTGCAACATTCATGAAGGTGTGGTGAATTCCTTATGTATACCCCTTCATATAAAGTGTTACCTTAGTTTAATTTCAGGGTACAGTGTGAACCAGTATCTGTGCGTTAGAGACCTCTCTAACCCCAGAAAGCGCAGATTAAAACTCCCATTCACCAGCTCTGCAAGCGTTATAATTTCAAAATTTGTTCGTTGATCACCAAATATGGAGTTTCGCTGAGCAAATATCTTCATTTACTCCTGTTAGGCCCAGTATGTACTTCCAAAAAAAGGTGTAAATAAAATGTACAAGCAACCGAGAAATGCCTATTCCGCACCTCCAATGTATTGAGCCGTTCTAGACTAACAACCTGTGCGTGGTAAGTAATGAGTGATTGGAGGTGCCGAATAGACATTTGTTTTTCGTTTTTAGTACATTTTTATTTATAACTTTTTGGTAAGTACATACCAAAAAACATAGTGGTGCAGCCAGGAAACGGTGCTGAGCTCGTATGCAAAATCTTTATCACAGGTCCACCTTACCAAACTCTGGAGAGAAAAACGGCACATTCACAACATGCTCTCCTTCTCTTCGGTAGCACGTGTTTGGCCATCCTGATCCTCAAAACTAAATCATGAAGCTATACATGTACATTTAGCCTACCTTCTGCCACTTCTCTTGGGTAATCGAGTATCCTCTCCATCTCCAGCTGCCCTTTTCCACTTGAATTTATTCCGTTTGTCAATTGTTTTTAGCATCTATTAGTAGGCTGGACAATAGAACGAGTCAAATTTCACCCAAGACTGAAAAACAGCCAAAGAACGTTGGTTGAGCTGGAACACTAGCGCGAGGCCATAGCAAATAAATTGAAACGAACTTTCGCTGAGCCTCTTTTGACTGGAATGAAACTTAGAATTCAATTTTCCCTAAAAAAATGATACCTTTTCATTTTACTACTACAATCTGTTCTTAGGACGAAACTGAAAAATAACAACTTGTGTAGAAAGTAAACATCCGCACCTCGATGGTGCCAAGTGTGCTTATGTCTGCATAAGGAGGAAGTAGGGAAAAAATGGCAACTTCTGACTATTTCTGGTCTAGAGATCGATGACAATGGAGTACGCTGCCCAGCCTTACATAATTAGAAAGAGGAGATTATCCTGAATAAAACGATGTCCTACTTGAAAAAATCAAAATGTACACATTGCGAGATATTTGGCAAAATATACCAGCATACCTCTCCATAGGAAAACAATGGGGGGAGCTCAGCATTCCAAAGGCAAACCAATTATTTTGGGGCTAGCGTTTAATGACAACGGAGTACGCTGCCCAGCCGTACATAATTAGAAAGAGGAGATTCTCATGATTAAAATGGTTTCTGACTTGAAAAAATCTAAATATACACATTGCGAGATACACTGCTCAAAATAATAAAGGGAACACTAAAATAACACATCCTAGATCTGAATGAATGAAATAATCTTATTAAATACTTTTTTCTTTACATAGTTGAATGTGCTAACAACAAAATCACACAAAAATGATCAATGGAAATCAAATTTGTCAACCCATGGAGGTCTGGATTTGGAGTCACCCTCAAAATTAAAGTGGAAAACCACACTACAGGCTGATCCAACTTTGATGTAATGTCCTTAAAACAAGTCAAAATAAGGCTCAGTAGTGTGTGTGGCCTCCACGTGCCTGTATGACCTCCCTACAACGCCTGGGCATGCTCCTGATGAGGTGGCGGACTAGACCTGGACTAAAGCATCCGCCAACTCCTGGACAGTCTGTGGTGCAACGTGGCATTGGTGGATGGAGCGAGACATGATGTCCCAGATGTGCTCAATTGGATTCAGGTCTGGGGAACGGACGGGCCAGTCCATAGCATCAATGCCTTCCTCTTGCAGGAACTGCTGACACACTCCAGCCACATGAGGTCTAGCATTGTCTTGCATTAGGAGGAACCCAGGGCCAACCGCACCAGCATATGGTCTCACAAGGGGTCTGAGGATCTCATCTCGGTACCTAATGGCAGTCAGGCTACCTCTGGCGAGCACATGGAGGGCTGTGCGGCCCCCCAAAGAAATGCCACCCCACACCATGACTGACCCACCGCCAAACCGGTCATGCTGGAGGATGTTGCAGGCAGCAGAACGTTCTCCACGGCGTCTCCAGACTCTGTCACTTCTGTCACATGTGCTCAGTGTGAACCTGCTTTCATCTGTGAAGAGCACAGGGCACCAGTGGCGAATTTGCCAATCTTGGTGTTCTCTGGCAAATGCCAAATGTTCTGCACGGTGTTGGGCTGTAAGCACAACCCCCACCTGTGGACATCGGGCCCTCATACCACCCTCATGGAGTCTGTTTCTGACCGTTTGAGCAGACACATGCACATTTGTGGCCTGCTGGAGGTCATTTTGCAGGGCTCTGGCAGTGCTCCTCCAGCTCCTCCTTGCACAAAGGCGGAGGTAGCAGTCCTGCTGCTGGGTTGTTGCCCTCCTACGGCCTCCTCCACGTCTCCTGATGTACTGGCCTGTCTCCTGGTAGCGCCTCCATGCTCTGGACACTACGCTGACAGACACAGCAAACCTTCTTGCCACAGCTTGCATTGATGTGCCATCCTGGATGAGCTGCACTACCTGAGCCACTTGTGTGGGTTGTAGACTCCGTCTCATGCTACCACTAGAGTGAAAGCACCGCCAGCATTCAAAAGTGACCAAAACATCAGCCAGGAAGCATAGGAACTGAGAAGTGGTCTGTGGTCACCACCTGCAAAACCAGTCCTTTATTGGGGGTGTCTTGCTAATTGCCTATAATTTCCACCTGTTGTCTATTCCATTTGCACAACAGCATGTGAAATGTATTGTCAATCAGTGTTACTTCCTAAGTGGACAGTTTGATTTCACAGAAGTGTGATTGACTTGGAGTTACATTGTGTTGTTTAAGTGTTCCCTTAATTTTTTTGAGCAGTGTATTTTGTGAAATAAACAGACATACCTATATTTCCCCTATAGGAAACAATGGGACGACCTCATAGTTCCATGATTATTTTTTTTTGTTTGATGACGTTTAACTACCAGCAATTGGTAACAGCATTGTAAGCTGCCCAAATTTACATAATTAGAAATAGTAGGTTATCCTGATTTAAAATGGTGTAGAACTTCAAACGATTAAAATACATACATTTTGAGATATTTGGCGAATGGCAGTCTGAAAGTTCTAAGAGCAGTCTTTTATTTAACCAGCTTACCATTTATCTGCTGCTATTTGCCTTTTTTGTGTTAGAAATGTTGTGGTTTGAACTAGGCCTCTATGTGAAAGCGTAGCAATAACTTATTAACTTCTCATTATTCACAGATTTACTTCTCTGATGACCAGGCAGGCAGACAGGCAGCACACCTGCATTTCAGCAAAGCAAAGGCTCTTTTAAGAGCTATCAGATTTATTTAAAAAAGCACATTTTCTGTGTCCAGTGTCTGTGTTTATATGTTATGGGGGTGTTACTTTGGCATATAATGTTACCCATGTAAAGAAAGTGTTTTTTAAATAATTAACTAAATCTATGGTGTTTTTTGTATATGCGAATGGCCATCAGTTTTATTGTTATGCTGAAAGTATGTTTATTTTATGGTTGTAAGTGATAAAATGAACTAGCAAATATTTTATATTCAGCAATTCTGAGTAATTACTACTTCAGTAAGGATATACACTTCATTCAGGGATCTTAGGTACATCAACTTTGATGGTCTGATCAGATTGTTAAAGAAAATGAATGAACTGCAATTACTAAATATTTAAATAGATGGCAGCATAAGACCACAAATGAAATTTCAGAAGAGTAGTTTTATTCCTGGATACACCCCCCCCCAAAAAAATAGGTTATATCTAGGGTTAGGTTTTTTAAGGCAAAAAAACTGTATGGGTCTCTTGATCCTCCCTGTGGCCTTCTGTGTGTACTATATAACTAATTTGCGACGCTTGCTAGTAGTCAGGTAGCTTAGTGGTTAAGAGCGTTGTGCCAGTAACCGAAAGGTCGCTGGTTCTAATCCCCGAGCCGACTAGGTGAAAAATCTGTCGATGTGCCCTTGAGCAAGGCACTTAACCCTAATTGCTCCTGTAAGTCGCTCTGGATAAGAGCGTCTGCTAAATTAATAAAATGTAAAATGTTGCTAGGTTCATTATCTGAGGTAGCAACTGCGTCAGATCTACAAATCAATGAACTAGACCTATCCATTTGGTTTGCAACTCAGTGAACCTGCGTGGCATTCGATGCCTACGAACACACAGATTTCGACGCATATCAAATTACCCAGCAGCCATTTAGAAACAACAAATCATCAAAAAAATATCTGGCTGTTTATCAAATTGTATTTGCCACATGCGCCGAATACAACAGGTGTAGACATTACAGTGAAATGCTTACTTACAAGCCCTTAACAAACAATGCAGTTTTTAAGAAAATAACAACTTCAGTAAAAAATAGATAAGTAAAACAAATACAAATCATTAAAGAGCAAGAGTAAAATAAAATAACAGTAGGGAGGCTATATACAGGGGGAACCGGTACAGAGTCAATGTGCGGGGGCACCGGTTAGTTGGGGTAATTGAGGTAATATGTACATGTGGGTAGAGTTAAAGTGACTATGCATAAATAATAAACAAGTAGCAGCAGCATAAAAAAGGGGGACGGAGTGGGGATGGGGATGGGGGGGCAGTGCAAATTGTCCGGGTAGCCATGATTAGCTGTTCAGGAGTCTTATGGCTTGGTGGTAGAAGCTGTTAAGGAGCCTTTTGGACCTAGACTTGGCGCTCTGGTACCACTTGCTGTGCGGTAGCAGAGAGAACAGTCTATGACTAGGGTGGCTGGAGTCTTTGATAATTTTGAGGGCCTTCCTCTAACACCGCCTGGTATAGAGGTCCTGGATGGCAGGAAGCTTGGCCCAAGTGATGTACTGGGCCATCGCACTACCCTCCGTAGTGCCTTGCGGTCGAAGGCCAAGCAGTTGCCATATCAGGCGGTTAAGCAACCAGTCAGGATCCTCTCGATGGTGCAGCTGTAGAACTTTCTGAGGATCTGAGGACCCATGCCAAATCTTTTCAGCCTCCTGAGGGGGAATAGGCTTTGTCGTGCCCTCTTCACGACTGTCTTGGTGTGTTTGGACCATGATAGTTTGTTGGTGATGTGGACACCAAGGAACTTGAAGCTCTCAACCCGTTCCACTACAGCCCCGTCGATGAGAATGGGGGCATGCTCAGTCCTCTTTTTTTCCCTGTAGTCCACAATAATCTCCTTTGTCTTGATCACGTTGAGGAAGAGGTTGTTAACCTGGAACCACACGGCCAGGTCTCTGGCCTCCTCCCTATAGGCTGTCTCATCGTTGTCGGTGATCAGGCTTACCACTGTTGTGTAGTTGGCAAACTTAATGAAGGTGTTGGAGTAATGCCTGGCCATGCAGTCATGGGTGAACATGGAGTACAGGAGGGGACAGAGCACGCACCCCTGACGGGCCACAGTGTTGAGGATGAGCGTGGTAGATGTGTTGTTACCTACCCTTACCACCTGGGGGCGGCCTGTCAGGAAGTCCAGGATACAGTTGCAGAGGGAGTCCCAGGGTCCTTAGCTTAGTGATGAGCTTTGAGGGCAGTCAATGAATAGCATTCTCACGTAGGTGTTCCTCTTGTCCAGGTGGGAAAGGGCAGTGTGGAGTTTGTCGCTAGATTACGTTTTGTCACAGCATCAATTTGCCTTGCTGCGGTAGTCTGGGTACCAGTCTTTTTTCAATTGTAAAGATTTTTCTTTCCCACACCAGATGGAAACATACACATATGAACAACAATTTACAGACGCACACAAACAACGACTACATCTCATCTGCCGCATGAGCACACCCCCATCCCTAATGCCTGCATTATTGTTTGCCACACGGCCTTAAATTGTACACATATGTTTTTCTCGGATGCCCATGCCATTTCAATATTTCAATAATAAATCATTCGATTTCTCCATTGTGTTAATGATGGCAGATTTATTGATTTCTAAGTTTTTAGTATATACAGTGGGGAGAACAAGTATTTGATACACTGCTGATTTTGCAGGTTTTCCTACTTACAAAGCATGTAGAGGTCTGTAATCTTTATCATAGGTACACTTCAACTGTGAGAGACTGAATCTAAAACAAAAATCCAGAAAATCACATTGTATGATTTTTAAGTAATTAATTTGCATTTTATTGCATGACATAAGTATTTGATCACCTTACCAACCAGTAAGAATTCCGGCTCTCACAGACCTGATAGTTTTTCTTTAAGAAGCCCTCCTGTTCTCCACTCATTACCTGTATTAACTGCACCTGTTTGAACTCGTTACCTGTATAAAAGACACCTGTCCACAACTCAATCAAACAGACTCCAACCTCTCCACAATGGCCAAGACCAGAGAGCTGTGTAAGGACATCAGGGATAAAATTGTAGACCTGCACAAGGCTGGGATGGGCTACAGGACAATAGGCAAGCAGCTTGGTGAGAAGGCAACAACTGTTGGCGCAATTATTAGAAAATGGAAGAAGTTCAAGATGACGGTCAATCACCCTCGGTCTGGGGCTCCATGCAAGATCTCACCTCGTGGGGCATCAATGATCATGAGGAAGGTGAGGGATCAGCCCAGAACTACACGGCAGGACCTGGTCAATGACCTGAAGAGAGCTGGGACCACAGTCTCAAAGAAAACTATTAGTAACACACTATGCCGTCATTGATTAAAATCCTGCAGTGCACGCAAGGTCCCCCTGCTCAAGCCAGCGCATGTCCAGGCCCGTCTGAAGTTTGCCAATGACCATCTGGATGATCCAGAGGAGGAATGGGAGAAGGTCATGTGGTCTGATGAGACAAAATTAGAGCTTTTTGGTCTAAACTCCACTCGCTGTGTTTGGAGGAAGAAGAAGGATGAGTACAACCCCAAGAACACCATCCCAACCATGAAGCATGGAGGTGGAAACATCATTCTTTGGGGATGCTTTTCTGCAAAGGGGAGAGGACGACAGCACCGTATTGAGGGGAGGATGGATGGGGCCATGTATCGCGAGATCTTAGCCAACAACCTCCTTCCCTCAGTAAGAGCATTGAAGATGGGTCGTGGCTGGGTCTTCCAGCATGACAACGACCCGAAACACATAGCCAGGGCAACTAAGGAGTGGCTTCGTAAGAAGCATCTCAAGGTCCTGGAGAGGCCTAGCCAGTCTCCAGACCTGAACCCAATAGAACATCTTTGGAGGGAGCTGAAAGTCCGTATTGCCCAGCGACAGCCCCGAAACCTGAAGGATCTGGAGAAGGTCTGTATGGAGGAGTGGGCCAAAATCCCTGCTGCAGTGTGTGCAAACCTGGTCAAGACCTACAGGAAACATATGATCTCTGTAATTGCAAACAAAGGTTTCTGTACCAAATATTAAGTTCTGCTTTTCTGATGTATCAAATACTTATGTCATGCAATAAAATGCAAATTAATTACTTAAAAATCATACAATGTGATTTTCCGGATTTTTGTTTTAGATTCTGTCTCTCACAGTTGAAGTGTACCTATGATAAAAATGACAAACTCTACATGCTTTGTAAGTAGGAAAACCTGCAAAATCGGCAGTGTATCAAATACTTGTTCTCCCCACTGTATATTTTTTCAAGATGAGTGATAAGAGAATCGTCCAGCCCATTGGGTGTCTCACTTCACCCCCATATATCATGTCTTGAAATATGCAGACAGATGGATTAAAATTATGTTTACATTGTAATACTTCTGACAGCCAACTTTCTAGCTCCGGCAAATTTATTTTGACTTTATAGCATTCCCAGAAAGCATGGATTATTGAGTCATTGTTAGTTTTACACTTAAAGGGGAATTTCACCCTGCCTCTACCACGGTATAGAGTCATTACTATATTAACAATATTACGTTATCATAAACATCATAATTATTCAAACCACAAGCTAGAACTTAAACATTTTAATTTCACTGGTAGAATCGGGAAGTTTCAACTCCCTGTGTATTGGTCTGCTCATAGTGAACCACAAAGTCTGACATTCATAGCGAACGCTGATACCGCCCGCTATGTAGAGGAGGCGTGCCCACAAACTTGAATAATAGCGTTGTTTACTTCGAACGACCAACACACAGTAATCTCAGAACTGAGCCAATTACAAACACGTGCGAAGATGAGTTATCTTTCACCATTCTACCTACCAGTGATTCCCCCTGATTCTGCCAGTGGCTTGCGGCTATCAAGAATGATGAGGTGACCAAAGACTATGAGAGGGACTTTCAGGCTGAACTGATGGGGATTCCATTTTGACGACAGCTGAGAAGTGATGCGATACCGTCAATGTTTTTTCCTTCAGTACAAAAAGGAAGATTCTCAATTAGAGGTAACCTAACGTTAGCTAGCTTGCCAGCCTAGCTGGGTAAGTTAGCTAGATAGCTAACATTACAGTCCTGTATTGAACTCTAAAAAGCCATCAGCTAAATCACATAGCTATATTTTGGAGAGGTTCACAGACAGTACTTTCAGACGAGGAAGGTGTTTTTGGTTGTGCAGTAGAGAACACACAATGTCGGAGTAGAGAACACACAATTTTGTGTGACCCAAAATGGGTCGATATTCTACAAAGATCCAGCAAAAAAAAGGACCTTGTACATTTCAGGTAAAATGACAACCCAATGTTTATATCCCAGGACAAATTAGCTAGTAACAGCAACCTAGCTAGCAAAATGTCAATTTTTTTTGTGTCAAATTTTTTTTTTTTCATACTGGCCCCCCGTGGGAATCAAACCCACAACCCTGGCGTGGCAAACGCCATGCTCTACCAACTGAGCTACATCCCTGCCGGCCATTCCCTCCCCTACCCTGGACAACGCTGGGACAATTGTGCACTACCCCATGGGTCTCCTGGTCGCGGCTGGCTACGACAGAGCCTGGATTCGAACCAGGATACAGTGGGGAAAAAAAGTATTTAGTCAGCCACCAATTGTGCAAGTTCTCCCACTTAAAAAGATGAGAGAGGCCTGTAATTTTCATCATAGGTACACGTCAACTATGACAGACAAATTGAGGAAAAAAATTCCAGAAAATCACATTATAGGATTTTTTATGAATTTATTTGCAAATTATGGTGGAAAATAAGTATTTGGTCACCTACAAACAAGCAAGATTCCTGGCTCTCACAGACCTGTAACTTCTTCTTTAAGAGGCTCCTCTGTCCTCCACTCGTTACCTGTATTAATGGCACCTGTTTGAACTTGTTATCAGTATAAAAGACACCTGTCCACAACCTCAAACAGTCACACTCCAAACTCCACTATGGCCAAGACCAAAGAGCTGTCAAAGGACACCAGAAACAAAATTGTAGACCTGCACCAGGCTGGGAAGACTGAATATGCAATAGGTAAGCAGCTTGGTTTGAAGAAATCAACTGTGGGAGCAATTATTAGGAAATGGAAGACATACAAGACCACTGATAATCTCCCTCGATCTGGGGCTCCACGCAAGATCTCACCCCGTGGGGTCAAAATGATCACAAGAACGGTGAGCAAAAATCCCAGAACCACACGGGGGGACCTAGTGAATGACCTGCAGAGAGCTGGGACCAAAGTAACAAAGCCTACCATCAGTAACACACTACGCCGCCAGGGACTCAAATCCTGCAGTGCCAGACGTGTCCCCCTGCTTAAGCCAGTACATGTCCAGGCCCGTCTGAAGTTTGCTAGAGTGCATTTGGATGATCCAGAAGAGGATTGGGAGAATGTCATATGGTCAGATGAAACCAAAATATAACTTTTTGGTAAAAACTCAACTCGTCGTGTTTGGAGGACAAAGAATGCTGAGTTGCATCCAAAGAACACCATACCTACTGTGAAGCATGGGGGTGGAAACATCATGCTTTGGGGCTGTTTTTCTGCAAAGGGACCAGGACGACTGATCCGTGTAAAGGAAAGAATGAATGGGGCCATGTATCGTGAGATTTTGAGTGAAAACCTCCTTCCATCAGCAAGGGCATTGAAGATGAAACGTGGCTGGGTCTTTCAGCATGACAATGATCCCAAACACACCGCCCGGGCAACGAAGGAGTGGCTTCGTAAGAAGCATTTCAAGGTCCTGGAGTGGCCTAGCCAGTCTCCAGATCTCAACCCCATAGAAAATCTTTGGAGGGAGTTGAAAGTCCGTGTTGCCCAGCGACAGCCCCAAAACATCATTGCTCTAGAGGAGATCTGCATGGAGGAATGGGCCAAAATACCAGCAACAGTGTGTGAAAACCTTGTGAAGACTTACAGAAAACATTTGACCTGTGTCATTGCCAACAAAGGGTATATAACAAAGTATTGAGAAACTTTTGTTATTGACCAAATACTTATTTTCCACCATAATTTGCAAATAAATTCATTAAAAATTCTACAATGTGTTTTTCTGGATTTTTTTTTCTCATTTTGTCTGTCATAGTTGACGTGTACCTATGATGAAAATTACAGGCCCCTCTCATCTTTTTAAGTGGGAGAACTTGCACAATTGGTGGCTGACTAAATACTTTTTTTCCCCACTGTATCTAGTGGCACAGCTAGCACTGCAATGCAGTGCCTTAGACCACTGCGCCACATCCGTTTCTACAATGTAAAAATAAAGAAAAACCCTTGAATGAGTAGGTGTGTCCAAACCTTTGACTGGTACTGTATACTCTTATTTTACAGTTGGAACAACAGTTGAACCTTGCCAGCATAACATTAACATTAGGGTAGACCAGTTGAACATGTATACATGTGCACAGGAACAGAGATAACATTTACAACAATATATAGCCTAATAGAAAGACATATGGCATAACCTTCAAACTTTGCACAGACCAGACCGTACAAATGAGCCTAGGTAGGTAAGTAGGCAGACAGCTTCTACCTACAGCCGTGTCTGTTAGGCATGTTTAGGCAAATATATATTTATAGTAAAACCAGCTTCAGTTTCAAAGATTTATAATGCTAAATTGTCGTATTATTGTTTATCCTCAATGTTTGGCAGTAAATTTAGCTAGCTAGCTTGCTGGATATGCAATAACTTAATTGCATCTGTTTGGAATCCTATCTTGCGTCATGCCTATAATTTTGTGAGATTGAAATGCATCCAAGATCATAATCATAACCAATGTCAACCCTCATCAATTATGTTACATAGCTAGGTAGTCAAATTATTTACAGTTATGATGTAACACAAGTTACAAATGCGAGGTATGGTGCATAAGTTAGCAGGCGCTAGGCTAAATAGCTAGCCAACTCCAGTCATGTGCTAACAATTGCTGGTAAACCTAACTTTAGGTGGCTGATTGTAACATTGTAGCTTGCGGTTTAGTAGCTAGCCATATCTAAGACTAAAAAGAGAAGAGTCTCTGATTGTAAAACCTCTTCTATTTTTAGCCATAGATATGGCTACCAGTAGTTGTTTAGCTAGCTAACCTAGCTAGCTAAGTTAGCAAACAGAAAAATAGTTTGATTTCCTCCCACTGTAACACACTAGCAAGTTAGCCAGCAATACACAATATGGGTTTCAGTAGATAAACTAAAGTTAGCTAGCTAGCTAGCTACAGTGCATTCGGAAAGTATTCAGACCTCTTGACTTTTTCCACATTTTGTTACGTTACAGCCTTATTCTAAAATTCATTAAATTCATTTTTTTCTTCATCAATCTACACACACTACCCCATAATGACAAAGCGAAAACAGGTTTTCAGAATGTTTTGCAAATGTATAAAAAATTAAAAACAGAAATACCTTATTTACATACAGTGAGGGAAAAAAGTATTTGATCCCCTGCTGATTTTATACATTTGCCCACTGACAAAGAAATGATCAGTCTATAATTTTAATGGTAGGTTTATTTGAACAGAGAGAGACGGAATAACAACAATAAAATCCAGAAAAACGCATTTCAAAAATGTTATAAATTGATTTGCATTTTAATGAGGGAAATAACTATTTGACCCCTCTGCAAAACATGACTTAGTACTTGGTGGCAAAACCCTTGTTGGCAATCACAGATATCAGACGTTTCTTGTAGTTGGCCACCAGGTTTGCACACGTCTCAGGAGGGATTTTGTCCCACTCCTCTTTGCAGATCTTCTCCAAGTCATTAAGGTTTCGAGGCTGACGTTTGGTAACTCAAACCTTCAGCTCCCTCCAAACCTTCAGCTCGCCAAAGAAACAGTTCTGGTTGGTCTCAGGAAATTTAGGAAGGGACACTTTTAATATGGGATTGAGTGAAGTAACAGTTGAATGAGCAACTAATGAGCATGGCTGGAGAGCCTCACAAGGTTGACGAAATTACCTTATCTTTCAGTCTAATATGGCTATTGACTTACTCTTGTAGCGGTTCATCAGAAGCATACTTTTTGAAAGTAGTTAGGCCTAACTGTCCTCTCCAAGTTTAGCTGGAATTTAGCCCAAAATGATTTGAAAAATGTGATTGGTTGACGATAGGCCTATGACATTGGCTTACATCTCGTCTTGCACTGCGCAGAATATCAGATCTCAACAATTGGAGAAGTGTTTAAGATCACCAGTAGGCTACCACATCCTTATGATATACAGTGAGCAGTTTATTAGGTACACACATCTAGTACCGGGTCAGACCCCCGTGTAGCCATGAAGGGATGCACCTGGTCAGCAACAATGTTCAGATACGCTGTGGCGTTCAAACATTGCTCAATTGGTATCAAGGGAACCTAACGTGTGCCAGGAAAACATTCCCCACACCATTACACCACCAGCCTGTACCGTTGACATCAGGAAGTAAGGGGCCATGGACTCATGCTGCTTACGCCAAATTCTGATTCTGCCGTCAGCATGACCCAACAGAAACCGGGATTCGGCGGACCAAGCAATGTTTTTCCACTCCTCAATTGTCCAATGTTGGTGATCGTGTGCCCACTGGAGCTGCTTCTTCTTGTTTTTAGCTGATAGGAGTGGAATCCGGTGTGGTCGTCTGCTGCAATAGCCATCCATTTACATTTTAGTCATTTAGCAGACGCTCTTATCCAGAGCGACTTACAGTTAGTGAAAACATTATTATTATTTTTTTATACTGGCCCCCCATGGGAATCGAACCCACAACCCTGGCGTTGCAAACGCCATGCTCTATCAACTGAGCTACATCCCTGCCGGCCATTCCCTCCCCTACCCTGGACGACGCTGGGCCAATTGTGCGCCGCCCATGAGTCTCCCGGTCGCGGCCGGCTGCGACAGAGCCTGGATTCGAACCAGGATCTCTAGTGGCACAGCCTTAGACCACTGCACCACTCAGGAGCTCGACAAGGACAGATGAGTTGTGCGTTCAAAGATGCCGTTCTGCACACCACTGTACTGCGCCGTTATTTGTCTGTTTGTGGCCCGCCTATTAGCTTGCACGATTCTTGCCATTCTCCTTAGACCTCTTTCATCAACGAGCTGTTTTCGCCCACAGGACTGCCGCTGACTGGATGTTTTTTGTTTGTCGCACCATTCTCTGTAAACTACGGAAGTCCAGAGAGGACATATACATAAAAAATATATTCCCTCGTTATGTCGAGATCAAAAGTTGTTTTGCCAAGATCACAAGAACATTTTCTCACGATCACGACACAACAAAAGTTGTTTTGTCGAGATCACGAGATAAACTCTATAAATAAGAGTGGAGGTATTGATGACAGATTGACAGTATGTCTGAGGCGGCAGCACATGTGTTTTTATTGATTGCTACACTAAGGGATGGCACATTTCATGCTAACGTCATGCTTTCATTTGTGTTTGGAGCTCATTATCAGTTTATAAGTTAGAATGTTAGCAAGCTAAATGACCCTTCCCTTGAGCTAAGATATCTTGTGGTATCTAAGCCCTTGAAAGAAATGTACCATCCCTTAGCGTAGCAATCAATACAAATACATACGCTGCCGCCTCAGTTGTCTTTCTTGACACTGGAAAAAAAAATGGTCTAGAGCCCTGCCGCTAATGTAAAGTAGCTGTCCATTTAAAAAAAAAATCTGTATTTGTTGTTAGAGCAAAATAGTTAAATTTATCGCATTTATGAGTTTTTGTCCATATCACCAAGCTCTAGCACCTACCCCAACATTTATTTATCGCTGATTTATTGTTATTGCAAAAGATGGGTTAATTTATCACTATGGATTTTTTCATATTGTGATACTGGTCCGCTACCCACATGGTGGTCCTCTGTAGCTCAGTTGGTAGAGCACATGTAACTTACAAATGGAGATAGCCTCAATGGCGCTGGCCGTGCTGTCACAGACGCCATAATGGCACAGATACAAAGATGACACCTCTATATATCTGAATGGTGTCAATTGTTTTGGTTGTGACCATCCATTTTGGTTTGGATAATTTTGACTTATTTTTTACTTTAAAGAATCGCCAGCTAACATATGGCTTTCATTTGGACAGAGCAAACATATATTTTAGTCCCAAAAATATATTAGATGTTCGGTAGTGACACTTCTTAAAAAAACATGAAGATTTACCAACTTCGTCACTCATTTTCCCCACAATGCATGTAGACAGAATACTCACTATGTGACCATGCTTGAGAGGGGTACAATCCCATCACCTGGTGATATTTGTAGGCTGTGGCTTAAGGCACATTCATTCTACAGGCTTTTAATGTGTGTGTTTCGGTAGTGACATCAAAAGGTAAGACAGCATTATTTTTAGATGTTTAAAAATAAACAAAACTCCCAATTCGATCAGTATCTTTCAAGGTAATAATAGAACAACTCAATATGTTCTACTGAAATAATCATGTTTACTCCCTTAAAGATTAAAAGATAATATTACAACATTTTGCTCGACTCCCATGGACCAATAAGTGCTCAAATGTAGGAAGTAGGTTGTATACTGAACATACCCCAAATGTATAAAGTTAGTGGCTCAAAACAATTTTCCTGCCATTGGTTATTATGGTGCATTCAGAGTGTTGTGTATTGTAGTGTAGTGGTGGTTTCCATACATGTAAGATTTTTTGATTGAGTACTCATGAATTGTTTACACATGCGGCTTACTAATGTGTTATGATGTCCTTATGCAGGTACCCTTCAAATTAAGTCTTACCGAGAATTCTTGGTATTTTCAACATTCTCTCCCTATGTAGTATCAATGGACTTGAAATAAACTCTGACCTTTTGCCGCGCTTCTGAGAAGGAGTTGCCATATTTTTCTTGTAGATAGCGGTAGTCAAAGTTTGGGAAGGGTGAGGGTGCAGGAAAGGTACCAGACTTCCATAACTTCCAGAGGTTGACTCCTGCCACCGCCAACAACAGGAGGAACCCAGTCACGAACACCCCTACCTCCCATCCAGGGGGGGCTCGGACCACTGGGGGGGGGGATAACATTTGTTTGTAAAGCAAATGATGTCCACTATTTACTTTAATGTATCATCAAACGAAGCATTGCTTAATAAAACCTTTATAACACTAAACATTCATAATGATGACTTTTCACTTGATGACTCATTACTAACAAAAACAGCATTCTCATTTGCACCTAAAAACACATTTCACATTTTCGACTTGAAAGAACCATCATTAAATGTTACTGCCGTCTCTCTCAAGATAAATTACTTATTGTGAATGCCCAAAGCAGACAGTTTTACCTTGCCTTTTCAAAGCAGCAGACAGGAAAACGATGGAATACCTTGGTCTTTTTAATGTGGATATGCCAAAGCCTTGTTTAAGTGTTCTTATGAAGGGTTGCCTTAAGGACACACACAAACAGACTGTATCGGTGGCTCTGCTGTGTGTGACCAAGCAGAATGAAACATCAGAATGGATGGGGCATCGTGGGGCCAGGCACACACACACACACACACACACACACAGAGACTCACCGCTGATATGGTAGTCCGATATATCCTTGCCCTGTGCTGAGGACATTGTACAGCCACCAGCCTAAAAACAAAAGAACACTAGTTTGTTCTTTGTTGAATGCACCAGTGTATAATGCATTATGAATGCATTATAATGGCTTCTGTTACATACATATTGCACTATACGCATAAGCATAAACATTACAAGAGTAATCCTAGGTCCATTATAAGCAATCATAAGTGCTCCTTATATCATCTGTTATAAGTGCATATAAAGGCTAGAAGTGCATTCGTAACGGATTACATACAGACGCTTCATCACTCAAAGTGCATTATAAGACTTGCTATGAACATTCATAACAGTTCACAGCTCCCTTATAATGTCATCCTTTATAAATGCATAAAGACCATAATTACATTCATAAGTCATTATGGGTGGTTTGTCATACGTATATTGTATTAAGACTTAAAATCATTCATAAATATTTGTGTCTCCTTGTGCCAGCATATAAATGAAAAAAAAAATACTTATGTATGCCTTCATAATACAGTAAACATAGATATGAAACACACAGTAACACAATTCACAGTAGAAGTAATGGCTAAAGAGTGCAAGAGTAAATTTTATTAAACTGGTTGTTGTCCAGAAGCCTTTATTACAATGTTGAGCATGACATCAGCCTGTCATAATCTTGCCATAAGCACTCATAACAACCAATTTACTGATCATGACACATGCAGATGCTGTGTTTGGTTAGCATGCACATAATGACACTAGATCCTTGAAGACAGATTAGAGGAGAGTTAATTATGGATATAGACAGAGCATGTCTTCCAAGGTAAAGTACAACACAATATTTCTGTATCACAATATCAACACAAGCAAATTTGCAGGGGTTAAAATCTCGGTGTTGATTCTAGTGGGGTTAGCACCAGTGGGATTGAAATTGACACCACCTGTGGTGCATAAATGAAGTGTTATTTGAATCACAGTGGAATCAGCACCGCGTTGTTACCTGTTGTTACTTGACCGTGTTCAGTTAATTTCCGTTAACTCTCTCAGAATGAAAAAGACATGGGAGTGGCCTCATTATCACATTTCCCAGCATGCTTTGTGCAGGTTGCTTTTTAGAATAGTTTGTTTTAATATCTATGTTTCTGCATGCACATTGATTAATTAATTTATCTTATACTACACCAAGAAAAATAACATACATTTTTCTATAACTAATCCAATCTGTAATTGGTTGGACTTATTTCACTCGTTATTGAGATGGTTGTTCCAGTTTAGATAGTTTAGATAGTCTCATTTATCAATCTTCCCTATCTTGGCAGCCATTTTAACTGCAGTTGCGGGTGATTAACAGTTCCAATTGTTGAATATCCTAACTCTTGCTGGATTCCATAGGAATTATATAACACTTTGCAAGCCAGCATAATGTGACTTGCCCATGTGGCTTGCAAACCAGGAGATTCAGACCACTGTGTTAGGGTAAAACTAGGCTGTCGGAGTGTGGTATTGTGGAAAACAGGACTGCAAAAATCATGTCTCTGTCACTAGCAAACACAGTCATGGGTGGTACTAGTACCTCTAAATTTCACACAGAAGGCACCCTCTAAAATAATATGCAAATAAGGCTTTACACCCTACAGTGTTAAAACAACACCCAAAAACGAGTTATTGTAACACCACATGTTTTAATTCTCTAACACTGAGAAAGTGTGACAGCATCAGCTCTAATAAAGTGTTAATTTAAACCGGAATTTGCACCCATGGTGTTACGGACCCAACACTCTGTTAGTTTAAGACAGGTTTCTCCAAACCCTGGTCCTGGAGAGCTACCCTCCTGTAGGTTTTTACACCAACTCCAGTTGTAACTAACCTGATTCAGCTTATCAGCTAGCTAATTATTAGAATCAGGTAGCTAATTATTAGAATCAGGTGTGCTAGATTAGGCTTGGAGCGAAAACCAGGAACAAGGTTGGGTTGGAGAGCCCTGGTTTAACACTATTTGAGATGGTCACATAATTTTGAAGAAAGTGATCAGTTTAACACTGTGGGTGTTCAAATTCCGATCGCAAATTTGCAGTGCAGTAAACAGCAAAAATGGCAGCCTCAGTATGAGTCATTCACCCTGGCCAGCAGGGCCAGACCGGACCAGGGGCGCTTTGGGGGGTTAGAGAGGGAGTGGGGGTCATGCCGGAACCGCCTCCGGGGAGGAATGCCCACCCGGCCCTCCCCTGTTCGGTTTATGTTTGGCGCGGTCGCAGTCCGCGCCTTTGGGGGGGGGGGGGGTACTGTCACGCCCTGGCTCTGGGACTCTGTTATGTTGAGCCAGGGTGTGTTGTTTCTATGTGTTTTGTGTGCTAGGGTTATTATCTAGTTCTTTTGTTTCTATGTTGGCCGGTGTGGTTCTCAATCAGAGGCAACGTGTATCAGCTGTTGCTTGTTGTTTCTGATTGGGAACCATACTTAGGCAGCCTGTTTTCCACAGTGTGTTGTGGGATCTTGTTACGTATGGTGTGTATTGTAACCAAGGACTTCACGTTTCGTATCGTTTGTTGTTTTGTTCGTGTGATCTCTAATAAAAAAGTATGTTCACATTCCACGCTGCGCATTGGTCGACTTCTCAAGACGATCGTGACAGTGACAGAAGATAACCCTATTTGGTAAAAGACCAAGTCCATATTATGGAAAGAACAGCTCAAATAAGCAAAGAGAAACGACAGTCCATCATTACTTTCAGACATGAATGTCAGTCAATACGGAACATTTCAAGAACTTTGAAAGTTTCTAAAAGTGCAGTCGCAAAAACCATCAAGCGCTATGATGAAACTGGCTCTCATGATGACCACCACAGGAATGGAAGACCCAGAGTTACCTCTGCTGCAGAGGATACGTTCATAAGAGTTACCAGCCTCAGAAATTGCAGCCCAAATAAATGATTCACAGAGTTCAAGTCACAGACACATCTCAACATCAACTGTTCAGAGGAGACTGCGTGAGTCAGGCCTTCATGGTCGAATTGCTGCAAAGAAACCACTACTAAAGGACACCAATAAGAAGAAGAGACTTGCTTGGGCCAAGAAACACGAGCAACGGACATCAGACCGGTGGAAATCTGTCATTTGGTCTGAGTCCAAATTTGAGATTTTTGGTTCCAACCGCCGTGTCTTTGTGAGACGCGGTGTGGGTGAACGGATGATCTCTGCATGTGTGGTTCCCACCGTGAAGCATGGAGGAGGAGGTGTGATGGTGTGGGGGTGCTTTGCTGGTGACACTGTCTATGATTTATTTAGAATTCAAGGCACACTTAACCAGCATGTACCACAGTATTCTGCAGCGATACGCCATCCCATCTGGTTTGGGCTTAGTTGGACTATCATTTGTTTTTCAACAGGACAATGACCCAACACACCTCCAGGCTGTGTAAGGGCTATTTTACCAAGAAGGAGAGATGACCTGGCCTCCACAATCCCCTGACCTCAACCCAATTGAGATGGTTTGGGATGAGTCGGACGGCAGAGTGAAGGAAAAGCAGCCAAAAAGTGCTCAGCATATGTGGGAACTCCTTCAAGACTGTTGGAAAAGCATTCCACGTGAAGCTGGTTGAGAGAATGCCAAGAGTGTGCAAAGCTGTCATCAAGGCAAAGGGTGGCTATTTGAAGAATCTCAAATATAAAATATATTGTTTAACACTTTTTTGGTTACTACATGATTCCATATGTGTTATTTCATAGTTTTGATGTCTTCACTATTATTCTACAATGTAGAAAATAGTAAAAATAAAGAAAAACCCTTGAATGCGTAGGTGTGTCCTAACTTGTTACTGGTACTGTATATTATGATGAAATCTTTAGAAGTTTTTTGTTTGTTTTGGTCTTCAGCACAGTTTTCTTCGGCTGTTTGTGCACATATTCTTTTTTTTATTGTGCCAAGTCGAAGTTCGGTAGCTGAAATCTACACCCCCTTCATCAGTGATTGGTCAACAGTACTACTCCTAGTAGGAGTAGGAACATGAAGTGTTTGTTGTCATTCAACGAGAGACGACTAGTTTTCATGCACATTTTTTCACTTGAGAAATACTGCACCAAACATCTGCACCAAAAATGTCAAAATGTATTAGAGATTTCTTGATTTATCTCTACTATTTTGAGGAAGTGTATACTGGCTATGTTGTTGCTATGGTGTCTCAAGAGGGACAAACAGTAATATTTCTTGTTTTTCAAGCAAAGGTCTTTTAAGGGAGTATGCGAGCACAGATGTTCGCTTCCCCTAGCCGAGTTCTGCTAGGAGCAAACCCAACCTATGTATGTGGATGCCTTTAGAGTAAACAGGAACATTACACTAATGACATAGAAGGGGGGGATGAGGAGGTAGGGGAGAAATCACTAAATTCTGCTGGGCAGCCCAATTAAATTGGCTGGTGCAGTGCAGGCGAGGGACAGCTGCTGAAATGCCATTAGTAGGGTCCTACTGTAGCACAGAGAGAGGCGGGGGGGGGGGGGGGGGGGGGGGGGGGGGGTAAACTGGCCTCTGGCAGCTGTGGAGACTACAGCCTGTCTCTCTCTTCATCTCTAGTCTGACATATTCTTATCCCTCCAGAGAGGGGGGAAGGGAGGGAAATAATGATACAGATAGAGATAGAGGGACTGAGAAAGTGAGCATCAGAAAGCAAGAGACAAAAAGCTGTGTGGGCTAAAACCTCTATTCTCCTTAGTGAACCCTTCTGAGAGAGACAGAGAGACAAGGAAGAAAAGGTCTCCACACATTGTCATTTGGTGCTGTGCATTGGCAGGCATATATTTAATTTCAATTGTAGAGGGCATCTTGCTAATCTAACGCATTACCAAAGACAATTTAAATAAAGAAGCCTAGAAACTGCTTCTCCAATAGAAATCCCCAGTCACGCATGTCATGGCGACTTTAGCTAGCATAGCGCATGCGCAGAAACACATTTAACGGTCGTGTCGTGCCGAACTGGCATTTGCAGGCCATCAAATCAAAGGCACTCCTTCGATATGAAGTTGTTTTTGATGAAAATGAAAACGAGTTAGTCTGTCACT